GGCATCATCCATGGAGGCAAGGAAGCTCCGCAAGTCAGGGACGGTCACCAGGGGAGAGGTTTGGATAGACGGGAGGGGCTGGACCGAGTGGATTCCAACACGCAACACAGACCGATCTATGAACTGGTACAAAAGAAAGCGGATACATAGCAGAGGAGGGGGCTATCCGGTGCAAAACAGAGTCGCAGCGCTCCTGGGATAGGATGGGGCCTAGCAGGTTGCGAGTACAGTAGGAAAGTTCGTCAGTAAGAGTCAAGGAAGTTGAGAAGCCGGTGGAGCTAGAGGACAGGGGTATGGGCAGGGATTCTCATGACCCCGGACTAGGGACAATAAGGCCACAGCTTCCAGTCAGCAGGGCTAGAAGTTGTACTAAAAGAAAGTTAGATCCCGTAGGAGGGCGTGAAGAGGATAACAACGATATCGAGAGGCAACCGTGGAAGATGAAGCTGCAAGACGATGGTCCTGTATAATACCAATTGATGATTCCAAACCGACTCCAAGACGACCAAGAGTGGCGCAGGCTTCAAGAGTGTATCGACAAGGGGCTCGATCGGGCCACTGGACCGTCCAGTCGGGCTGCACAACAGCAACTCGACGGAGGTGGCTTGTCTCATCCTCTGAAGAAACAAGAGGCGACGAGGGACATGTGGATGGACGGGCGGGCTAGTGAGTCGACGAGGTCGAAATTCAGTGTGTCGACTCAAACTGAGCCACGTTAGACCCGTCTGGGGTTGACAAAACTTCCGACGACAGCGGATTCAATCTGTAGACACGCCACATCTGTTGACCGACACCCAGACCTTGGGCGCGATAACTTGATGCCTCACCTCGGCCGTTCTTCTCGACACGCCCCTAAAAATCGGCCGGCACGCCCCCTACCCAACCCCGGAAGAGGGACAATACCCTCTAGAGTCGAGACAGGCCAGGGTATAGCACATGCAGTATGCTATTTTCCACAACAGTTGAAACCACTAAAGCCCGGATGTTAAGGCTAATTGCTCGATCAAGTCAATTCAGGAACCGAACCGAGTTGCAGCGGGATCGCCTACCGCCTGAGCGCAGACCTCTCGATATATATGCAGTCACGGCAATATGGCAATATCGTACATATGTCAAAGACCCCGTCCTCTGATCCCCCGCATGAGGGGCACTTAGATGGCGAGATGCCAGAACTTTTGTCACGATCGTACGGCGGTTGTCCCTTAAGGAGCTTGACGGAAAATTTGATCGCTTTTTTTTTTTTTATTTTAGGTAGCAAAGTCGGCGACAGCCGTATAGGCGAAGCAGTAACTTCTCACGGCAATGTCGGTATTTTTCTCGAATGATAGGTCATCAGCAGACTGGTGGCTCAGCATGCATCTTGCTTGGGACAAAGCAACACCATTCGCATCGAGACAGTGGGCGATGCGCCCTGAAATCTGGGCTTAGCCAGTCGATTTCGAAAGCCGGTGTGCCATTGTAGAGGCGGAGAGCGAATCACAGGCACAGTCGAGCTGTGGCATCTGTATCCTCAGGCGCTGATATAGACTGAATTATGAGTTATCCAATTTAAAGTAACTTTGAGCCTCTCGATCTCCTCCCGCTAGGATGGAGGGTATATTCGACTGAGACACAGAAGCATAGCTGAGGCTGCTATTTCCGTTCTCTTGGCTGATGTTTATCGAAGTGCTGTGACCACACTCGAGATGCGCTGGAGATCCAAAGCAGAGGTTGCAAGCGTACCAAGATGAGGACAAGCGCGTGTTTGAAGTTGTAAGAGAGTGGGTCAAGCAAAGCCATCTGATTTGCAGCGGCAGGACAGGGGTTTTGGGCAAGAAGCGGGACGAGTATCTTGTTCCTGCCGTTTTGGCGTAGAAGCCGCTATTCAGGGCATCTGATTGGATATTACTGACATGTCTCAGCTGCTAGCAGGGAGACCGGCGTGTCTCAGATCTGTGTCAAGACCAGGGGTAGATGGATGAGGTCCACTGATACGTCGAATAATATCCACTCAAATCCCACAGGCTGATTTCGTGGCTCATGTTTAAACACCCACAGTCCACTAGAAGCTCACTGGAACAAGCTCACCAACAGCGCCTTTGCGCCTGGAAAGTCACATCTTACAGGCGAGCCGATTAGGCGAGGACCACGTCAGAGCTCAATCTGAGCACATTTAGATAGTGGATTTCAATTAATTGTTGTGGATCATTTAGGCTATGAATAGCAGATGGCGTTCACTTTCTCTTAGACAAGAGCATCTCCAAACAGCCGGTCCTTTCATCTTGACAGTCTATCGCTCAGTCCGCAACCGATCTCGATTTGTTTTCATCTCTAATGTTTTAGTCTATTCTTCAGCTCTCAGCTCAGCTACTAAATTTGCTACACCTGAAGATCCGTTCCTACCAAAGTCGATACGCCTGAACATCGAACGACACCACGATTCCTTCATAGAAGAGGAATCCGCTACTATCACGATTAGTGCAGAAACCCCCATCTTCAAGCCTTCAGATCATCTTCACATCTCACAACAAGTGCCGGATCCTCTCTAGGGGTCAGGGAATAGCCCAGTTGATACTGTTACATCGCGTTGAGACTCCGTTGTTTTCCTTTGCATCCATATCATCCGACCAGTGCTTCCCCTCGTCTCATATCCATAGCTAGGTATGTAGGGAGGGACCTTCTGTAGAGTCTCATTCGCATATTCACTTTTACGCGCAACAATTTATTCCAGCGCAACGCGTCATCTATTTGCCAGTGTGTTACGAGCTGTTTCTTGAGTTTTCCGTGCGTGAGCTTGTGCCTGAGCCTGTGCCTGGAGCTATGATGGCTCTCCACAGTGAGCACGGTGGTTTCTTCCATCGACTTGGGTTGACGCCCGACAGCTTGGAACATAAACGAGGCTGTCAATTGACGTGGTAACAATAGACTTGCATAACCCTTATAAACGCGTCAATGCTCAAGCTGTTGAAGGTTTGTTTAGGTGCTCTGATAGTGACGATATCGTGATCTTGATCTTCATGGAATGTGCTGCACACTGCGGCCGTCAACCTCAGGACGGCTAGAGTATGCTCTGCCCGTTTCCGCTTCGAGATAAGCTGTACCGTAAATAGGAAGTTGTAGGATAATCTGCCGTGCACTAACTCCAACAGAATTTCTTTGCTCATCTTCTTCAAGCGTTCCATAATTCTTCTATGGGTCGCCCGGTAAGGCCGTTTTGTGGCCAGGGTCTCATACATCCATTCCTGAATCACTACTCAAATGGGAAATTACACCACCACCTTTTGGGAGTGAGCATGATTCAGGCCTTGTCGATTTCCTCAAAATGGACATCATGAACCAATTGCGATACTTTAATCTCCCCGCAATGAACTTCTTTCATTTTCTTGTTACGTTACATACCTAGCACCCTGGAAAGATAACTTCTGGAAGGCCTCTGCCCTCTGTATCTGTCACAACGTTTCCGTCTTTCCCCCAGCGCTTGGAGATTCTGGAAATAGAACAGCAGAAACATCGCCCACAACGGGTCCGATCCCCTTAAAACATTAATATATTTAACAAACTCTCATGGAAACATTAATGTTATCGTATCCTGGTCATAGCCCTATCATGCCGAACCGGTCTTCCGTTCCCTACCTTAGCCCGTGCTGTTGGCTGCTGCTTGCACGATGCAACAGTTACTCCTTGTTGATCCTCTTCCACACTTCATGCTCGGCTGCAGCAAGACTCTCACCTGCAGCCGAAGCCCACTTCTTGGCGGCCGACCAGACTCCCTCCTCATCGTCGTCTCCTATCAGAGATGGCCTGCGCTCCTGGGCGACTGATGCTTCGTGAGCCGCACGCTGGGCACTGGAGAACTCGGACGCGTGCACGTTTTGGTGATAACCAGGTGGATGAGAAAAGTCGCTTCCGGAGCCTCCGCCTGGCACGCCCGTTGGGCCCAGGCCAGCCATCGGGGACGGGCCAGGAACAGGAGCTGTAGTCGTCGCTGAACGAGTAGCGGCGAACTCAGACCCACTGGATATAGGCGCATAGGGCACCTGTGCTGGTGTAAACTGTGTCTGTGTCTCGCGCATAGTCTGGCCGGTCTTTGGAGGTGGTGGTAAATACGCTCCGTTTTGCGGCTCCGGTACAGCTCCCGGTTGCGGGGCCGGAGGGCTCGAATCTACAACCGCCCGTGTTGGAGTTGGCTGGATGTTGGCGGAAGGTTGAGGTGCCCCAGTTGGAGCTGGCATAGACGGGCGAGCGCCTGGCTGAGCTGCCGGGTAAGTAGACGTCGGCACTTCATTGCTTGCTGGTACTTCGGCTGGCGCCACTGGGTCATTTGAGTGCGCCGTCTTTGGGGTGATTCCTGACGCCTTTGCTGCCGTGATAGGGCTTGAGGTGTGAATAGGAATTGGAGGCATATTGGTGAGTCCTAGACGCTGGTCCTGTATGGAGGTGTATGGTTGACTCCCCTGCGTTCCGAGCGTTTGTGTTCTTCCAAGGTGCGATTTCGTGTTACCCAAGTTTTTGAATCTGTAAAGTACTTGTCCTAAAACATTGAGTGTGATGAGATGTTGTCTGAATAAGAGAGTGGCGATGGATGCCAACTACGTCATGTGATCTGCTTTAGGTGCCTCGCACGCGGTTACCTGCAGTCAGCGGGGAAATGCCGATCAGATTCCCGTCGATAGTTCCGTGTCTTTTTCCTATTTCCAAATGCGGAATACGAGAATTGATTCTTGGGACAAACGGTACCTATGCTCTCTACTTGGATTTTGCGATAGAGTGACGTAAGACTCCCATTGGATACACGACTACCCTAAGGTTACACAGCGTTGGTGCTTTTTCCTTCCTCTTCATGTCTTCATGGTCAATACGAAGGCCATGTAATGGTCCAGTTTTAGTGGAGTATTTAATGCATCGAAATAGTGAGAAAGCTCTGGATTGGAAAGCAACGGCTCTGACGGAGGAACGATTGAGTTGGATTTTGAATGGTGGAGGTTGAATTGAGAATAACACACTGAGGTGATGAAAAAATGGACAGATGGCTCATTTTTGAAGAAATCGAATAATCTGACCTAATAATATAATTATGAGTTTGCAAAACGCTATAAGCCTTAAAGCTAAGCAAGTACTACATGAAACTCCAAGTTCCAATAGAATACCCAGCCCAAAAACTATATACAGCAAGCTAGTGGAGATATCCTAAGATCGCTAAATGCTAACCAGGCTATGGTGTCATCTACATATACAACCAGTTAAAAGCATAATCTACCTTATCATCCACTACATGCCTCCCTCCAGTCACGCCAAGAAACAGTCTAGTTCTCGGACGACTTATAAGGACAACCCGCGAACGCTTTCGTCTTGACAATCGCTTCGAAACCCTTAGTCTCTTCAACACCCTTGCCAACAACCTTATCAGGACCCAAATCCTCAAAAAGGAAACCTTCGGACTTCATACTAGGCCCGCCATCGCCGGGAAGTAACCCACCAGATAGCCATGTGATAATTGCTTCGGGATTCCAACGTTGCCAGAAAGTGGGAGGAACATAGAATGGCTCTTTCATGTAATGATATGACTTGATGCGTCCGGTCTGCTCGTCAGGATCGGAGAGGTATATGGAGGGTGCTAAGCGAGGGAGGCAGAGATAGCGGACGATGAGTTTTCGAACAAGCAAGAGACTGTATGTCAGAACTGTAATAGCCAAACCTGGCTCTGGGAAACTGTTCTCATGTAAATACCTGGTCGGAGAAATGGAAATAGTATGAATCGAAGACTTACCCAAATGCTCGTCTCAAGCGAGGTCCCATAAGGACACAAGCTGCCGGATATCCAAGGGGAGAAGCAATCTTGGGATACGAATCCAACAGCATCTCCATAAGAACATGGCCTAGTTTCTGGATTTCCGGTGTAGGGCGCAAATATTTGTCCTCGTAGTCTCCTCCAAAGCGTGTCATGTCCTCGAAGAATTCGAGACCATCTGTCCACTCATTCTTCCCGAGCACAGTCCTGTAGTCGATATCCATCATGTCTGCAACATACTTCCACAGAGTTGATAGGCTAGCAACTTCCATGCCGGTGAGTTTGCGGTACTCATAGATGTTGAGGAACCGAACAGGCTCAGCAAAAGAGGCGTAGAGCACATAAAGCAGATCTTCTTGCTTAATTTTGCCGCTCTTGATATATGGAGCGTGAAGGAAGTTTGTGCGCGCAACCGCTTTGTGAAGAACAGGCGACGTAGGAGGGAAGTTTGCGAAGCTGTCATCATGTAAGTCTTCATAACTCGAGTAATGAAATCCAAGTAAACTCACCAGACATAGACGGCTTCAGTATCTGCATATCTAGTATTCGTTAGTAGAAGTCACAAGAGCCTAAGACACTCATTTAGGTACCTTTTGGGCGCCTTCTTTCGATTAGCTAGATCGCTGCCACCATAGAGAACATGAGCAACGTTTTGAACAGCATATGTCTATGTATTGACGTCGTTAACATACAAGCTTTAAATGTTGACACTAACTCGGTCACTAGTAGTTAGTTAAACATACCTCAAATAGAGCCAATCGAACCGCAAGGTCATAGAATAACGGGAACTCGAATCTAGCGATATTCTGAACAACTTGAAATGCATCTTGATTTGTCATGCGACTCAACGAAGCGCGGTCGTGAAACCCCAACTTGGATCGAAGCGAGTTAATTCTGGAGAAACGCAAAAGAGAACAGAGTGCGACATAACCAAGAAGGGCCCCAAGAATGATTGGACCTGACCAAGAAGTGGGCGCAAAACTGGTCAACAACTCTGATTGAAGGCTCTCAGAAGCTGAGGCCTTCAAGCTTGGCTTTGCTGCATCCATGGCTGTGCTGATGAGCTCCTACAGAGTTACTGAGAGAGGGGAAACAGCGCAAAAGACAAAGAAGAAGCAAGATCTACGAGAGCCAGGAAAGGAATGTGTACATATTTATGGAACCCTTGTAAGAAGTGCGGCTTTCAACCCGAGTTGGGAGTGTTTTAAACATGCTAGATCCATGATGCAGAACCCCACTGGCCCTATCGGATGAGGGGCGTTGGCAATGGCTTTTGTTGTACGCCAAAAGTTGTAAGTGGCTCATGTACCAATGGTGCGAGAGAGAGGATTTTTTGAGGCTGACGCAACTATTCCAAAGTCTAGAAATAGTGTTTGCTATAATATGATTATGCAGTTGAGGCGGATAAGCTGACAACCCTACAACTCAAATTTGCAGCAGTTTGGCAAGCCCCATAGGTACATATCCTTCTATGTTCACTTACTGAAGGCCGACCGGAAGTGAGGAGAAAATAGATATACAATAGCAATAGCACAGGGAACAGAAGCGTTAACTAGGAGCTTTTCAGTAGTGATCTCCGACATTTGCACATGTCAATATCGCCAACAGTATCTGGGTCATTGCTCGTGCAACTCCAGATCGAATCCTTCACCATCGTGGCAGAGACAGTTGACTGAAGTACAAAGTTACCATCCAAAGCATTGTATACGGATATAGTGGTTGAAATAGAATACTTTGGCTGCCGATTTATGCTGTACTCCGCAACTCTATCGAATAGCATCTTGTGGGGAAGAGACGCTATACGGACCCAATCGCCAATGCATGTCCGAGGTCCCGGGTCATCAAAAGTCCGGATGGTTTGCGCTAAACCTATTTTGCTGCTGCGATTCAGGCCATGAATGCGCTCCTGGTGTTTTTGAGAGCTTGTTGAGCGCGCGCTGGAAGCTTCTTCAACCAACTCGCTATCGATGTGAGCTTGCTCAGCGCTATTCCCACCGCAACATTAGAAAGGTCAAGGCCAATCCATCAATATGGTTGGAAAAGTCAGCGAAAGAGTCCTCCTGCGGGAAGGTATGTTTCATTACCACTTGTCGATAGCGACTCAGCCGTCGCTCTAGACACATGTACTGACAGATTGCCTTAGGTCTTGAGAGAACTGACAATGGCATGAAGCTGACGACATGGCCTGATGTCACCCCGATTAATCAGAAAAACTATTATACGTGCGATGACCCTTTCTAATAAGTGGCGTTTGTGCTGATGCTTCGTTAGTGATTACATGAAGCGCGATGACCAAATCCTCGCCCTCCGCCTCCAGAGCGATGCCACCCGAGATCGACTAGTACAGAGTGCTCGAGACCGAGATCGCGCTCTATCCAAGAATGCCAATGGGGAGCTACCACTTCCTGTCGCAGATCTTCCTGATGAAGATGGTGCTACAACACCTTCGGCTGGCCTGGATCCCTCAAGGGTCATTGTGATCCACCCCGGCAGTCAAAATCTTCGAATAGGCTTTGCGAGCGACGCCCTCCCCAAGGCAATTCCGATGACACTAGCGACCAAGTTTCCCCAGACCGAATCCGAGATGTACGAGGCCCTACCACGACGACAGTTCGAGGCCAAGACCCCCGACCAACAGTACGGCGAAGAGTGGTCAAAGAAATACAACAAGATGTGCAATGACCTCAAGGTCGAGATGCGAGCCAATAAGCGCAAAGTCTTGCCCAACTCGAAGGAACTTGTTCAGACTTTCAACCGCCGTACAGAACCCGAAGTTATCCAGAAGCACAACGACCCCCTTGAGATCGAATGGACTGATATCGAAACGCTTGATGACCCCGACTCATTAGCTTCGTGCTTTATTGGACACCAAGCGGAGCGTGTTCCCGACGACTCGAATCCCAAATTCAAACTTTGGTGGCCTATACAACATGGACAGTGGAACGAAGATGGGTATACAAGTCAGGAGCATATGTATGATGATTTTGAAACATTACTCGATAAGGCATTGAGGCAAGAACTTGGACTCAAGACAAACAGCGAATGGCAACAGTACAGCTGCGTTTTTGTCATTCCCGACTTGTACGACAAGAAATACGTGGAGCAAGTCCTGCGATCGTGCATGACCTGGTTCGAATTCTCTAGGGTGTGTTTCGTCCAGGAAGGGATGGCAGCAACTTTTGGTGCCGGATACACACAAGCCTGTGTTGTCGATGTGGGAGCTCAGAAGACAGCCGTTACCTGTGTGGAAGACGGTCTTGTCATCGAGGATTCAAGGATCAACCTGAAATACGGAGGCTACGATATCACGGATACATTCCTCAAAATGATGCTTTACGACAACTTTCCTTACCAGGACATGAACCTGCGACGACGATACGATTTCCTTCTTGCTGAAGAGCTGAAAATTAAGCACTGCACCATGTCGCAAGCGGATATCTCTGTCCAACTCTTCAACTTCCATGTCCGGGCTCCTAACCAACCAACACGGAAATACGCTTTCAAGACATACGATGAGGTCATTCTGGCTCCGATGGGAGTGTATGACCCAGCCATCTTCGACAACAGCACCAAGTTAAGGGGACGGCGTAAGCTGGTTGAGAGATCTTACAACGCCTACGATGTTGATATTCCAGACGATCCCACATCTGCCGCCCAATTAGCGATTCTAGCACTCGTCCAGCCGTCAATAACATCCAATGCCAATGGATTCACGCTGACACAGCCCGATATCTCAACGCCTATCAAGGAGAACAAACAATTCAACTTCCTTGGAGCAAAGGAGGGTATGACTAACGGAACTCCCATGGGTTCTCATGCCGGATCTCCTGCACCGGAGGGCGCAAATACGCCGCTTCCATATGTCTTCGGTAGGGATAGGGAGGGCGTAAACGGAGGTAGCCCAGCGCCCAATGGTTCTCGTGCTGGAGGCACTCCTAATCCTGGACAAACACAACCACCAGCAGGCATGTTTGTCGATGCTGCTACCCGAACCGCCAAATCCATGGCCGCTGAACGAGACGCCGTGCTACCGGTCGCTCCTCTGGACATTGCAATTCTCACAAGTATTCAGAACGCCGCTAAGGGCGATGAGAAGAAGCTTCGAGACTTACTTGGAAGTATCATGGTCATTGGTGGTGGCGCCAAGATCCCTCACTTCACGGTTGTCCTAGAGGAGAAGATCAAGGCCCGACGGCCCGAACTGAGCGATCGAATCCTCGTGAGTCGAAGTGCGAGAGATATGGACGAACAAGTGGTCACCTGGAAGGGTGCCAGTGTGTTTGCTAAGCTGTCGACCAACGACTCATGGATTACGCCTTTCGAATTCGAGAGGCTAGGTGCCAGGACTCTTCACCACAAGGTGCTCTGGGCCTGGTAAAACGGGACCCGCAAGATAATGGGCTAATGGAGTTTGGGCACAGGCATGGAGTATGGGTATCTTGTATCTTGTATCACTGGAATGCAGCATGGAGCCGATTATGAAGGCAGTCGTAGACGGAAGCTTATAGGTTGGGGTGAAAAGCCGCTAGACATATGGATGTTTATGTTTATTTATATGGTGAACTTGACTTACACATGGAGACATGACACATGGAGCTAGCTTGATCTTAGCGAATCGTGATTATGGTTTAGCAACTTCAACGCCACGCGATATCGAGACTCACTTTTCAGCATCAGCTACAAACTTGGTGTTCCAAGACAGAATCAATCAACATCTTATGATGCTCTTTTCTCCGAGTGCGATATCGGGTGCATACCTAGACTACATGATGTGTGAAGATTATGTAATGGCCCCGTCATTCGATATCCGAGCTTCAACTGGAATTAGGTAGCTCCCCGGTCATCCGCCCTTATTGTTTAGCACATTGTTTGGGCAGCCCAGCTCTGGCATCCATTTCATCACATCCATCCACCGCGCTTAGAACCACTACGTCAACATTCCGCGTGCCCAAATACCAGTTTATTTTGTGTCTGCAATGTGATATCCCTCCTCTTTTCCAAACAACAATCCTCCCGAAAGAACCCCGCCATGTTGCGATATCTACCATTTGCGCCGTCGACGACGCCTCTACAGGCACTGACGTACCTTCTCGGCATATCGCTCTTCTCGATCTCCTTTCTTGTATTTTTGAACAGCTCTGTTTCTTTTGTTATTACCGACCTGATTGGGCAGAAGGAGGGCGTTGGCGATGTCGTGGGAACTCTTGGCTTCGTCGATGAGCTCGTTGCGCTTGTCGCTTGTCCAGGATGGGGTCTTGTGTCGGATCGTCTGGGTGTTAGATGGGTTGCTGTCATTGGATACGCGATAATTGGTGTCTCGCTGGCTCTGTTTGTGCAGGCGAAGACTGTGTATCCCCAATTGTTGCTGGCTCGCGTGTTATTCGCAATCGGCGCATCTGCAGCGTGAGTTGAGACAGAGTATAGCTTACATGAACGAGCATTGCTAACTTTGGAAGGGCCACAATGGTAACTGCGATACTCCCATCTTTGACGGACGATAGCAATAACGAGGAGGATGAAGCTCAAGCTAGAATTAAAGCTCTCCAGAATGCGACAGCCCGAAGCAGTATTGCCTTCTCTGTCGAATCCGAAGCGACAATCACCCAGGAACGATACACACAGTCTATTTCTGAGCCGAGCACAACGGATACCGCCGATACTGCGGCAGGAAGACCATCCAAACTAGCGGGATTCGTTGGACTGTTTACTGGATGCGGTGCGCTTGTCGCACTGACGCTGTTCCTCCCACTCCCAGCGCGATTTGGCGAGAATAAAGGCACTACCCCTGCTGAAGCGGTATCGTATAGCTTCTACGTTGTTGCGGCTGTCGCATTGGCCGTGTCTATCTTTGTTGCGATCGGTCTGCGCAACATCAAAGGTGAGGAGGGTAAGGGTTGGAGAATGCTCTTCGGACTGAAGAACGATGACGAATCGAGTGATGGAAACGGCCGTGAGCGACGTGTAAGTCAAACACAATTCGATTTTGGTTGATCTCCCACTAACAAGATATAGAAGCTTGCGCCGTATCTCCACCTCATGAAAGACTCAGTCTTCCTTGGCTTCGTTGATTCACGAATCGGACTTGGCTATGTTGGCGGTTTTGTTGCTCGAGCTTCAAGCGTTGCTATCTCACTCTTCATCCCTTTGTACGTCAACACGTTTTACATCAGCAACGGTTTCTGCAAAGGCTCGCCTCACGATTCGTCGCCCGAACTCAAGGAGGAGTGCAGAGCTGCATACGTCCTGTCTTCCATCCTTACTGGTGTGGCGCAACTCATGGGCCTCATTTGCGCTCCTATCTTCGGATACCTTGCCAGTCGAACTGGTCGCATCAACTACCCCATCGTCGTCTCGACCGTTTTTGGTATCGTAGGCTACATCGCCCTTCCGCAACTCTCCAGTCCTGAAATCAAGGACGTAGACGGCCGAGGCGGTAGTCCCGCAATCTTCTTTATTGTTTCACTTCTTGGTATCAGCCAGATCGGCGCTATCGTTTGCAGTCTTGGTTCTCTTGGCCGTGGAGTTCTCGCAGTTGAGCTGCCTCGAACCGCCCGCCCCGAAAGCCTGCTCCAGCCAGAGGAGTACGAATCAGCCAACGATGAGAGCCGACCTCTCATCAGCATTACGACGGACCAAGAGTCAGTCTCTCGTATCCGCCTTAAAGGCTCTATTGCAGGCGTTTATTCTTTGTATGGTGGCTTTGCCATCTTGCTACTTACTAAGCTAGGGGGCTTTCTCTTTGACAAACTCTCCAACGGGGCGCCTTTCTACATGATGGCCATTTTTAACGCTGTTTTGCTGGCATTCTCTCTTGGAATGGATGCTTCGCACACATTTTCACATCGGGTGTAAAATATTGTAGCGTCTTTGTCTTCTTGCAACTAGATACGAAATAGATGAAAAGCGTTCTTCTCCCCTTTCATTAGATCTTACAGGGGACACCGGTCTAGTGTTATTATCATAGCAAAACATCACTTACTTAAAGAAGAAACATTGATATGAGGCGTATACAAATTTATTGGGACTGCTATCCTTGACCGTACCAGATACCAGTGCTGAAAGTTGTCAAATATGTCCACCCCCTGGATTCTTAACCCAGATTTCTAATACCTACACAAGTGTTCTTCGGTCTCACCATGATGTCTCGTCTCCCTGCTCGTCAGTGCTATGACCAAACTTACGGATCGAAGTCAAGGGAGATGTTGACCTAACCTCGACGTTTAATATGATGACGCAAGGACTCCCGGAGCTCCTTGAACTTGTGGTGGAGCTTATCTAGGAGCTCATCACGGGCATCCCTACAGGCGGTTTTGAAGTTGTCGGTGTGATACTCCATATTTCTGCAAAAAAGCTCAAGGTGCTCCTTAAAGATATTGTCCTCATCGCTCTCCTGGTCGTCAGGGTTGATAGGTTAGTAAGACTTCATAGTGGCGGTTTGTGGTGATTTGGTTCTTACTGCGTGAAGGTAGTGCTCCGAGCGTAGAATGTTGATAAAGGATACTTCTGAAGTTGTTTTGGTATCGTTACAGGTTTACTGAAGTATTCTCAAGAGGTTGTTTGGCTCTGAAGTGAGTGGAGAGGAAAAGTGAAGGGAGACACTCCAAAACTAGGGACGGGCCTTTTATATTCAAATTATCGAGCAGCGCCTCCGATAGCTACTGAACAACCATCTTGTTCTGTTCACTTGCTCTAAAACAGTTCAATACTTCCTAAATGACCTGGTTGATGGGAAAGGGGCTTAGACAAGAAAGAGCCCGTTCAACGACGTTGAGGCCAAAGGGGCCATCAAGATGTAGAATCAAGCACATTTTGTTATTTTAACTCGTATAATCGAGACCTAGGTCAGTTCATGAAGCTTATTGGAGCTTAAACGAGCTTCAAAGACCGAAAATTGAGCGAGTTACGCCTCAAGTCAAGGTCGCTCTAGCCCAGCTGACTAAGAGCTGCGAGTGCGAGCACGCAGTGGCTGTCACTGAACAGAGGCTACTTCTTCCAGCTCTAGAGAACATAGGAGAGTGTTCGAGGTATAAGCTGGGTGCAGTTCTTGCTTAAAGGCGCTTCGCAAGGTTGATTTGGATGGTGGTTCGAGGGATGACTTCACCGCACGACGTCGGTCATCGGAAAGAACAGTATCTCAAGCTGCAAACAGTCTACATGTTCTCCATTAGAGAAGCAGACTCATCCTTTTGTTAGAACGTCAAGTGCTGGTCGTTCACAATATGATATTTGCCCATACCCCTGACGGGTGCTATGTGACATATCAGATTCCGTCTACGTCCTTTTATTGGCTTGTGAGCTTGCATAGTGAGCATCTCTTACGGTAAGAACAAAGAATTGAACAAGCTCAGAGAGTTCTTTATGCTCGTTTGCGCTACAAAAGTTATGCCAGTTTCAGATGTAGATAAGGGGGGTGAGTAATGTTGACTTAAGGACAGCAACAACTACAAGCAAATCGAGCAATGCACAATCACGGCTGAGTAGAGTATGTCTATAAAGGATTGCAGACTTGTGTAAATATTATGTTTTAGAGGAAAGGCGTTGAGGTTGCCTATTGGTTGCAACCCTAGTGCATTCATCTTAAGGCGTATCACAATCAGACAACAAAGATATAAGAGCATTTCAAATGAATTTTGTACGGAAAACCTTCGAGAAGACCTAGAGGACAGAAATAATTCTGGGTGCAGCAGAGCTAGTGAGATCTGAGCTCAAATCCTCCCTATATCACGCAGCACTTTGCCCGTTGGACGCAGACCATCCAGCCAGACACAAAAACCAATGGTCAACTTATTTTTTTCATTTCAACCTGTCGAAGAACAACGAATATGGCATCCTTTCCACCCCCTTCTTATAATCGTGACGAGTTGAGGGAAAAAAGGAAAAAGGGGGAGGGCGTGGGACATGCATGACGTTGACCCGTGTTTGCCTATGCCGTGAGAGGGTGCAAGCAGGGGATTTTTGGGGCGCTCTCTTGTGCGAGGCGCGCGGGCTTAGGCAATCTAGTTGCCGCCGAGGCTGGGGAAAGCAGACTGGTCGCTGGTGTTAATAGCAGCATTGCCCTTAGCAGATCCCTGAGGAGCACCGCCGCGACCGCCGCGGTTACCTCCACGGCCACGGTCACCACCACGCTCTCCGCCACGACCACCACGGCCGCCTCGGCCTCCGCGAGCACCACCTCGGGTGCGCTCAGGCTCGACGAAGCGAGGGTCGAAGTCAATGGTTTGCTTGACCTTGCGCTCGCGCTGGCGCTGGGCCTTGCCGCCGGTAGGGGCGAAGTACTCCTCCTCCTCGTTCTCGAGGGGCTTGGCGTTGGCCCACTTCTTGTCGAGCTTGCTGCCCTCGTTGGCCTCACGGACCTTGAGACCGGAGTCGAGAGCGGCCTTCTTCTCAGCCTGCTGGGCGAGATATTCCTCGTAAGAGACCTGCTTCTCGGCCTCCTCCTCGGCGGCGGCAGCTTCGGCGGCAGCGTCCTCAGCAACGGCATCCTTTTGCTCGTCCTTAGCGATAGCTTCACCGGCCTGCTCGTCCTTAAGCTCAGCAGTGCCTTCGTTAGCACCCCAGGATTGGGCAGCCTGCTTGTCAGAGCCACTATATTCTGTCAGTATGTCGGACAAGACTAGGAGATTCAGTCAAGCATACCCGTGGCCGCCGAACTTGGAAGGGTGTCGGTCATCGCGCTCACGGGCGTGTCTAGCGCCACGTCCTACAGATTATCAGCATTTGTTCGCCATGACCAAGATTCTCGGGCTACTCACCACCACGGACACGAGCACCGGCACCGCCTCGGGGACCATCACGAGGAGCCTCCTCAGTGGATCGGTTCTGGTTTCGGTTGCTGCCAGCACCACGATCCCGGAAAGCTATTCCGAGTCAGTATTTTGACTATCAACTCAATTTCCGGTGCTTAAAACTCACCACCCTCGTTACCACCGGGACCACGGCGGTTACCGCCAGCACCACCGGCCCTCACGGGAGCCTGGGGCTCGACATTACGCTTAGTAGTACGAGCAGTGTTCTTGTCAACGGTCTTGACAGGAACGACGGGCTTCTCCTCGCCGTCACTGTCGTTGCCTGTGGGGGAGTCGACATGTCAGTACGAGTGATCGTAATTGGGTTGGGCATTGGGCATCGGAGTCGATGAAGCAAGACTTGGATTTTTCTTTCTCGCGGGGAAAGCGGGGAGAGGAGGAATCGTACCGAGGTAGGCAAAAGGGTTCTGGACAGAGCGTTAGCATGATTGTATGGTTATTTGGCTATTGCGGTATCGTATTTGTGGTGTTTTAGTATGAGGGGACAGGCCGTCGCGTTAGGTTAGGGCAAACAACCTGATGGACGATGACGAGTGACGGGAATGAGGGGCTTATTTTGGATCATGGGCGAGAGGATGGGCGATGCGACAAGAAACAGCAGAGGCGTAGAGCAGGCGAGCAGGAGCAGGAGCAAATGCGACTGCTGAAGCCATCGAGAACGAACGTTCTCATACAAGAGAGTTCGATCAAAGGCGTTATGATGCAAAATTGCCAACCCAATCCAGCGCCCCAAATCAAAACTCGAGTCGAGATCGCAGGGGGTACACTGCATAGAATAGAGAAGAGAACAATAGAGGAGATGTTTAATTCGTACCTTTGTGACAACCGACATCTTTGGTCGTCGCCTTGGGCTTATCGCCTTCCGTCCGGGGCGTAATTCAAATCTTGAGGGCGACGAAGAGTGGTCTACGGTCGCATGACCTTGTAAGAGGAAGAGCTTTTGGTGGTTTTGTTTGGGTTTGGGTTTGGTTGTGTACGTACGTAGAGACTCCAGCCAGCAGAGGGGGGGTCGAAGCGAGTATTGGATTGTTGGAGTGGAGGGCTCAGTCAGGTTTGGCTGAGTCGAGTCGAGAGAGAGGGAGTCTCGTAAGGTACTGTAAGTATTTTTTTGGCTTCTATTGGTGTGGTGTGACCCTCGACCTTTTTTTTTTTTCGAGACCTAATGGTGCCCACGATCAAGACCAAATCATAGTCTAATGTTACTGGTAACAAATTCACTAATACAATTAATTGGACCAGCCTCTTTTTTTCCCACTCCCGCTCCGTCTGCCTCTTGTATTTTACCTGATCTAACTACGGTACTGACAACTCTCCAAGTACAGCGCACAACATGCCCTGACGCAGCTGTTATTACTGGTCGTCAGGTGGGACGCTGAGGGAACTCTGACGCACACGCCAAAGCGCTAGAAACCTTGTTCTCGCTTAACGATTTGTCGCAATTAAATTTGAATTTTGTGAGTGGAATTTTTCGAGGTCTTAGGGCATGAGAATGGGGTACTTTCGACAACTGGATTGGATCTTCAGAGCTAGCACAGGCCAATTAACCCCGCGGTTGAGCTCCAAGCCTCTTGATGAGAATGATACTGCCAATATAGGATTACAGATCTATGGATGCTATGTATATCTATGCTCGTGATTACCAGCCATTGAATTGACTCAATTACTCAGTAACGATGCTGTTATATACCCAATGGGTGAGGATCTAATTCAAGCAGAGTTCAGTATTGCTTCTGAGGCTTAACTCACTTGCCTCTACCATTCAATTACCCCGCCAGAGCTTGGGCTTAGCTACGACTGGGCGTCTTTGGCTGGTGGAAACCTCCATTCCCCTCCTCAAAGTCAATGTGATCACGTTCCTAACCAGAGCCAGTCATTGTTGAATTTATCACAGAAAGTTCAATCTCCTCAATTCAACGCTCATGCTATCAATCTCAAGCTCAATTGAATACCAAAGCTCCCTTATCCTCTAACAGTTTGTTGATGGCGCCCGGCAAGATCTCGCTTGGCTCCGTGCCTCGGCCGTCCGCTTCCGGTGCCGAACCGATGTGAATGCTCTCATAGTTACGTACATCATCCGTCTCGGGCTTTGTCCTGTTGATCATAATAATTCAGCCATTTCATTGGTTTGCCGAAACTGTAATCCTCTCCATCTTGGCGTTCACCAAGCTCAGAGGTTCATCCCGTATAGCTTCATACTGCTCTGCTAGTCCAATTCCGCTGTTATACTTAAGCACGGAACGAATGTAGTAAACAAACTTCTCTTAAAAACTTGATACATAATTCGCATGTGAATAGGGTCCTTCTTCTTTTACACATACTGCCGTGTAACAATCCTCTATCGTCCTGTAAAGAACCGTCTCAACTCAGACCCAACCTTGCCTCCCCATTCTCCACCCTCAGATTGTCCCGGCTTCATCTTCGCAAGGCCCTCCTCAGTCACGCTTGCATCTATTCTTCTCAATCTTCTCGCCTCCTGGTTCTGTGTCGATCTCGTCGTCGCGGGCTGGTAACGATCAAGATACTCTGATGATTGTGGAGTAGCATGCACAGTTCGTTGCGAGTGCGACGTGAGCTGCGCGTGCAAGGGGCTAGCCGTCTTGACGTTTGACAAAGGAAGCGGATATGGCGTCCGCAGTACCTGATCTGGATATTCTGGAGGCGTTCTGTATGCCGATGACTCTGTCTCTGAACCATTGGCCTCTGCGCGACGTGACGGAGCGAGTCGAGACGATGGTCGTTTCAAGGGCTCTACGCTGACCCAGCTAACAGCTTGTTTGTGCTGCACTTCAGACCGGTCAATCATGTCGAGGTAGTCGTGCTCTGGAATTTTCTGAGTGTTGCGACTGCGAGACGGCGAAGAGGGTGGGGTTTTAGGTAGAGTTGGTGATGGTTGGCGTGGAGTACGATGGTCTGATGATCGACTTCTCACAGGCGATTCCGAGGGACAGACTGAACAAGGAGCAGAATGCTGTTTTCTCAGATCGTGAGAAGGCTGAAGGTATGTTTCGGCAGCAGTTGACCTGCGCTGGCGCTCGTGGATAGTAGGACTCGGTGGTCGTTGCATGAACAGCGGTATAGGCTTCAGGGGGCTTGGTTTAAAAGAAGGACCATTGATGGGATCAAATATGTCGACCCATATAACCGATTCGGAGTTGTCCTTGAAGTCGGTTGAGACCTTGTTAACTGTGAGGTCCTCGGCCTCAACACCATATTCGTTCTTGTGGGTTCTCTGTTGGCTAGAGGAGAACTGATGCACATGAATATTAGAAAGAATCACAGAGGCGAAACTTACAACTTACCTTCAAGTTTTTCTCGCTGTTTTTGGCCTCCCATCTCTTCCTGGTCAAACCTCCATCCACTTTCTCAACTCTCCTCAGCCCCCTTTTCACAACATTATCCTCCTTAACACCATCAACCTCGATTTCCACGACACAAGCTGCACAAAGCGGTACCTCAGTCACCTCTCTCCCTCCACATCTTTCCTTTACTCGATCTTCTGCTCCGCTCTCTTGAAAGAGATCGTGTACTGAAACCCCCTGATGAATGGATCTGCTCCCGTAGAGTAGACATCCGTAATACGCTCGATGCCAGAAACACCAACCGAAACTGACACATTCATCCCCTCGGTATATGAGCTCTCCGCAAACCCAGCAGATGGCTAGGTCGAGGAGCGCTGCGTGACATGTTGTACATGCTAGACGTCCGGTACGACCGATGATTTGAGGGGGACCTTGAAAGACGTGGAAGCAGAACGTGCAGGTGAATATGTTGGTTTGACTATGGTTTGGCATTGTAGAAGCATAAAGGGAAAGAAATGCGTTCGATAATATGTTAGGTATTGTGATAAAAGAATGTACGAGCGAGCAACCGAAGACCAAGGCTATAGTTTGGTGATCTCCAGATCGCGTTCTGAAGGAGTGTCATAGTTAGGATCGGATGTTAAATATCAGGTATGGATATGAGAGTGGGAGACTCTACCCGCAGCAAAACCGTAACACATCAGATTAAGGAAAGTGCAGGTCATGTCAGGGAAGAAGAGCGCAACATATCAGACAGTAGGTACGAAACAAAGGAGTCCTAGGGAGAGGGAGAGATATGTGTGAAGTTTATACACAACCCTATACAATCAAATACAATGATGAACTATCTCATCTGAATTTTAATCTCAGAACCTGATGCATTTTGCCATAACGCCCCGTAAACCCCTAATCCTTGAGTGACCCAAATCCTTTGTCTTGTGTGGTAAAAACAGCATGTCATTGACTTTGTCAACATAAAAAGCCAGGTAAAAACAATCTCGAAACTCCGGCTTAATCAAAGTACGCTTCATCATTAGCTTCTTATGTCAAGCTCTGGGTGTCAGCAGAATCGAGTGACCAACATGCTACAGGACGAAGCAAATAACAGTGACTCTATAACATCTGTCGTGACAATCTCCAGAATACGACAGACACATAAGGTCGTATTATACATTCAATTTTCAAAAATTCGCAGCTATAGCTGCACTTCGGTGGATTCCAACCGTGTGGAAACCTAAGCTCGATTCTTAGGACGAGCAAGCATGTTAAGCCGGCTCAAGCTGAGAACTGCGCGCTTCTTGGTAGGGCTGGCAGAAGCAGGGGTACGCGGAGTCGCACTACCAAACCGGACCTTCTTTGCGCTGGGGGTGCCGCCAACAAGACGAGGAGCAAGAAGGGCTTCACCTTCAGGGACGTGCTCAGCCTTACGCTTCTTGGCTGCACGCTCGGCACTCTTCTGCTCCTCTTCTTCCTCGTCCCAACTGGTTCGGTGTCGCTTTTTGTTGGACATGCCATGAGGCGCTCCAACCAGAATCTTGGCCGAGCCAGGTTCCTTGTTCTCCTTGTTGAGGCCAATCGGGGAAGTAGGACCAGGGAAGCTACCGGGCATCTTCGCATTAGGCTTAAGTGACTGTCGGACTTGGCGAACACTCGACTGGCCAGGGGAAGCTCCAAAGCCTAGCACAGGAACGTCGCCAAACTCGATCGTATGATCACTGCGGAATGTGAACTTGCCGGGGACAGATGCAGGTGCATTATCCTTCTGTTTGCTGGGAGGCTCGGGCAGGGGTCTAAAGCCACTGAGATCAGGGTATACAACATCACCAGAATCCGCCTTCGCAAGTGTTCCATCAATGCCTTGAAACTGCTCGTCCGCCAAAGTTCGTGTTGACTGAGTCTTGAGACAAGACTTCTGTGGGGAAGGTGAGTTTTGCTCAAATGCAATGCGCGTGACCTCTGGGGTGAAAGCGACGTGCTTTGTTACCTTTCGTCGAGGAGTAGTCAACGGAAGAGGAGGCAAAGCCTTGTCCTTATCGGCCTTAGATGGAGCAGGTGTCTGGGAGACCATGGGCTGTGGGATCGCAGTTTGAACATTGCCAGAAGGTGTTCGGTTTCCGCGCAAAATCGACTTGACTCTATCGAAGCGGCCCGGGCTAATGACTCGAGATCTAGGCGTGGTCGGCTTGCCAGGCATGAGGTGAGAAGTACTGGTGGATTTTGGCAGACCACTCTTCAGGTCGAACTTGGAAGGAGACTTGATGAGAGAAATGGTTGGTTTGCCTGTGTGAGCAAGAGACGCCTTCGTAGGGCTCATGAGCCGTGCCAGACTTAAGCTTGAGGCAGGCAACTTGGTTGACCCACTTCCACTAGACTTGGGTCGAGGAATCGAGGAGTCATCGCGTGATGGAGGTCGATTTGTTGTCGCGTCATCCTCCATTCGCTGCTTGAGTCTCTTCGAAGGAACACGTTGGTGTACATTAGGGAACAACTGTGCCTTCTTGGAGGATGCGGGAATGGCAGTAGGGATGTTGGACGGAGGCATAGTGGACTTCTTGGGCGAAGGCGATTGTTGGTATTCCTCAAGGTTAGTACGCGACGACTTGCGCTTCAGGCTCTGTGTAATGCGGGGCGTTGATGGCGTAGGAACATCTAGTTCGGCCTTCGAGGGCGATCGCTTCAGACCAGACTTGTCAGGAGAAGAAGTTGGTGTCGTTTCCAGGTTAGCCTTTGAAGGTGTGCGCTTCAGTGACCGAACAACAGGCTGGAAGCGCCCGTTTTGAGCTCTCCAAGCAGACGCATGGTTCTCGATAGAGTCCATCTTCTTGAACTCCGCCATATGCGCCGCGCTATAACGACTTGTCTTGCCCTTGGGTTTAGCAATCTTGCGGCCAAGAGCATCTTCTTCAGCACTCTCTGCATCACGCTTTGCGATCATATCAGCCTTGATCTTGGCAGCCTGTCCGCGGAGCTCCTCCATAAGACGTTGCGCATCACCGCTGAGGGTGGAATCGGTAGTGTCGCGCGTAAATCGGAACGTGAAATCGGAAGCAGGAGCCCCAATCTTGGACGGTGTGTCAGGCGGAACGCCAGGTCGGCTGGTGTCCTTGATATCTGTGAAGCCCAGCCTCATGGCGGAGGCGGGTTCCCCCATATTGTGATGAGCTTTGCTTGGGTGCATTTCTTCATGGGGAGGCTTCATGGCCGATGACGCTGGCGTCGAAGGCGCAGGCGCTGGTGAAGATGGAGCGGCATTGTTTTTGCCTTTCGCTTTGCTGTGACTCTTCAGCTGGGGAAGTCGTTCAGGCGACTCGGCATCTTCAACGACAGAAGTCAAGTTGGATGTTGCAGGTTTCTGTCATAACTGTCAGGATGCTTGTCTTGAAAATTGCCTGATACCATCACGGAGCTCACCTTAGGGGTAGTACCAGAGGCCAACCGGGCCGAGCGACGGCGCGGAGGAGACATTGCGTGTGATAAGAATGTGGTTAAGACTCCAAGTTATGCAAGTACTGAGCTGGTAATTTCAATAATTAAGGGTCGTGATCCTCGTGGGTGATGTCTTTGGGGGTCTCTGGTATGATGTCAAATCTCTCTCGATCCAGATGGCGCGTGAATTCCAACGTTGTGAGTGGTGGGGGCTTGCGGTTTGTTTACATGGTCCAAGCTCCATAACAACGGGTATCCATGCACAGTGTCAGTCACAGTATTTTGCACCAAATATCGGCCTGGCACTGTACATCGTCATCGCTTACCCTGTGGCTCATCACATCAGGTTTACAAGTTGAAGTTTATCGAACTGAAGACATGTCTCAATGACAATACATGTCTTAAAGGTCCCTTTACCATGTCTGACTCTCTTGCTACAATATCAATATTTGGCTTGTGTTACTGAGACTAACCTTAACTCATAATGTAGAAATATGGTTGAAACTCTAAACCTTCGCAGTGTTAAATACACCCATTGAACAACATCACGAATTGCCAACGCGGAGGTCTGCATTCAACACTCAGACTTTCGGTATTTACCACGCGCCTAACCAGTCATAAACTACTACTATGGTAACCGAGAATCACGTTGTTACATGTATCACGAGGCCAAGGCACAGAACATCGACAGTCAATGGATCAACGAAGACAACATGCCATTATAAATCATAAGCATAAGCAAGTCTGCTAACAAAAGATACCTGCAAAGGCAAAATGAAGTCAATAGAATACTCAAGACTGTACTTCGCTCAAGACTGATGCCAATGTTGCTGCTCAGGCATGAGTTTCACAAAACTCTACACCCATGACGGGATACTTCACAATGCCATCAGCACACCATTGAATTTGTCGAAAGCATATCCCATGATAGACCAATGCCTATGCCGGCTCCAATATGCCCATAATATGATCTACCGGCTCTCATCCGTTACCCATGGCATGCAAGTAATACCCAAATCGGCTATCATGCCACCGAGATCTGGTGCCTGTCACGAGAGCTTCCCAACAGTCTCATGTTGAAGTCTTCGCTTATGAAAGTTAATATTTTGTCACGAGATTTTGACAGGCTCAAGGAGAGAGATGCCGAAAGAAAGCGTGGAGAAGCGTAAGATGATAGTCGAAAGGTTTCACTCAACAAAAGCCCATCCCCGAATACGTCCTCCTCGATCTCGTGCCCGTATACTTCCCTAACAGGACTTATCCTTACTCCTCTTCCTGGGGATTCTACCACTTGCTCCGCCCTGTCTCAGCTGCTCACACATGTGTGATCGACGTGAAATCGAGACCAAATCGACTCACATCACTTTCACGTTTCATGGGGTGATGTTCCTGTTCGGATCTCACAGTGGCTGCAACCCGAGCCGCGCTAGAAAATTTCCAGAAGCAACACCCCATGTCTCGAAGAGAACAGCCCGCCTGGGCACCATGGCGCGACCCGACAATCCCGGCGAAGCCTAGTCAACCGAGTGAGAGTCAGCTGAGGCGAAAGTGTTTTTCTCGCTCGGTGAGGAAGGTGAAGGAGAGTTTCGGCAGATTCAACCGATGTTGCGTGGCTTGGCTAGGGATTGCCAAGGGCCGTGGAGATCATGTTAATGCGAGGAATGTCTGAGGAACATAACCTGAGAACTCTCTCTTACACAGCCCAAACGATTTGTCACCAAGGACAATGCTGAATCATATTTACCTTCTTGATCGAGTAGCATTGTGATCTTCTCTGACAAAATGCCGATCTTGAAGCTCATCAACATGAGAACAACGTCACCGAGAAGACCCTCAAGTTGTTGCCCAAGGGCGGAAGCTAAGGCCCAACAAAGTTACGACAGGAGACCGGCGCAGTTCGGGAGATGCAGGTCAAGCGGGTTCGCTAGGTCAAGCGAGACGAACCGTCGTCTTCGACCTTACTTGGCAGAGCCTCTCTGACTCTCATTGATCAAGACAGGCAGACAGGGTTGCATCGTGTGTGCCATTGAAACCAAGCCATCAGAATCGACAGGGCGTGCTTGACAACCATTTAAGTGATTGTATGGTATGTACGTGCTCTCAACCTTTGAGAGTCTTCATTGACAGTTATCGGTTGATATTGCGTTCACTGATGCCATGTCAGAGCATCAACACTGTGAGGACTATAGAGACAAGTTGACAGCTTAGAGCTTCAACTTCTTCTGAAGTTGAGATTTGATGAGCTCTCTCACCGTCAAAAGACAAGATGAAATTGACAATTCGTCACGAATTCCACAAAAGGTGGATGGATGATCCGGGGTAGCAGGAATCGTAATTTTGCCTTGTGAATCCACCATCAGAACTAGCAATTATCGCCTACCAAAAGGGGACTTAAGATCTGTGGCTCCGATCAAAGTCAAACAGGCCGCAAGCCATGGACCAACAGGAAATGAACCATGGACTGAGCAGAGTTTTCACCACACATGGATTCGTTTCTGGAAAATGACATGGAACCCAAAGGTTTCTTTCCATCATGTGAGGCTCCACCACTAAACCACCTCATACAACAAGGCCTGGGGGCTACGTATGCACGTCCGTTCCTAAAAGACAACGGACTGGGATGGTTATCCATGGTTGCGACTCATGGCACATGTGTAAACGCCGATGGGATGCATCGTAGCAAGCATTTGAGCATGAACAGGATTGTTGGTCGCTGATGGCCGGTGACACATGGTCAGATCTTGCTCGTGATGATATGGCCTCAGCATGTCAACCCTGTGGAGAGGCCAGAACCTTCGACACAAGGTTCCATCGAGGCGTTGGGACGTATTGGGTTTGATGAAACGGTATTCTCAAAGTCTGTTTTAACACAATGGCATACATAATAAAACTCATCAGTTCTGAAGAAGCGTTTCCGTTCCTGGCTGGCAAACTTTGTGCTAAGGTTTTATGCCAGGATGTTGGGATATGCCGTCATACCATGCGCTAACGTAGTTTGCCAGTTGTCTTTGGAAATGATGAGCAACTGCATATCAGATTGATATGCAACAGACAACTTGTTTCGCTTATCTCACAAGGTTTGAAGGACTTTGTTGCACGCTGTAAGAATCTCCCAGTGCCAGTACACAGTATCAGGCGTGGAGCAACTTTTAGATATCGTGGTATTCCTTTTGACCGTTGCTCAGGCTAAAATAGACCAAAAAGGCCTGCACTGAGTTGACTTCATCGTCTCTCAACTTTGTCTCTCAGAATAGAGTGCTACGTCAATCACTTGCTACACTGCTATTCAAACAGTATAAATAAGAGCCAGATGCGTAAATCCTTTTTGGAGCTTCGTGTAGTTGGAACACATGATGCGGCAGGGATAGGCTGTGGATAATTTACTCGGTTCGGAGGATTCGGAGGACCTCTAGAAGCCAGGATCAAGATGTCTCGAGGAAAGACGCTAAGCAAAATACGTAGACTATTGGACATTCATGCCGCTGACAGCTCCACCTGGTGCTTTAGCAGTCTGAGTGACCTGGCGGCGTACCTAGGTAGGCCAGATGTGATTGTGTAGGGGCCGATTATCGGTCTTACGGGGGCCGAACTCAAGTTTGTATGAATGCAGCGGCGCCGCAACTGTTCAACATTGAACCAGATGACCACAAGAGCTGAAGGCTTCAATGCAGCCTCTATCAATCAGATGCGAATGATAGCCAGAAAGGTTGGGGTGCACAGCGGGGGTTGAAGATAAACAGATCCCTGCTGAGAGATAGCGCCAGAATGATGGGTCATAGTCGTTCCCTGAGTTTTCTAGAACTGCCAGGGTCACAGCCAAAACAAACGGTGTAATTAAGCATGACAGGATGATCGACCGCACAGAGCGAAATGACGGACCAGATGCTGGCATGACGGGACCTCACTGTGAGCTCTAGCTCAGGTTCTTCAAATTCCATCGACAAGGGCATCTGTAAGAGATTGCAACAAATGCTGAAAATTTCAACAACCATCACGGGATAACAGATCAATGATTGGGTCAATGAAATGGGTGCCAGATTCGGGGCTGTCTGTCAAAAAAGACGAGAAACGCATTCTGGCACATGCCCTCCGCCACCAAGGCGCACCGCGAACCGTTGAACACCACTAAGGAAAACCGAAAGCCGCCCTTGCTGCTCTCTTGACAACCGCCCAGTGACTGAAGCGTTTCCGGTGAGAGGGCTGGAGCGAAAGCGGGGGCTCCGATGTTACAGCTGCCGATCAGTTCAGCCAGAGAGAGTGACCCGGCGGCCGAGCGAACATTCAGCCGGCGGCCACACGACACATGAGCGAAAAACGAACAAAGCTTTGTTGATGATGATAGTCGAGGGGGCTGATGGTTTTGTATATCTGCAAATCTCGAGCATCGAAAAGACCATTTGTATGCTTATCAGGGAGCGTATCTCTGGCATCCCACTGTCTCACACCAGGCCCAGGTTGGTCTTTTCCTTCCTGGGTTCAGCTCGACCGTAAAGAGGATGGGCTGGGAGAGTTAGTTCCAAGGTTGAGTGGGATGTGAAAGTGCCAGGGCATGCATGGCTGCAGCGTCTTGTCGGAGTGCGAGTGGGCTGGTCTGGTCTGGTCTGCTACGGTAGACTCTCACTCGCCCCTTGCGAGTGACGCTGCGTGTGCTGTTGGCGATTGATTGAACGCTTCACGATTTATCCCTCATGTGAAATGTTTAAAAAGAGATCACGGTGGGACCGTGCACTCCCCATGCTTTGACGATGGATGTCCATGTCGAAACCAATGGATGGATGGATTGAAGGGGCCATGCTGAAGAATTTAAGGTGAAGATTGAGATGGACTGGTTTTTTTAGTGGATGCCTCCTTGCTCCACTTATGGGCCTTGGAAGCCCACTCTCATGCCTCGAATACGAGTCTTTGATTGGCCCAAGGGCTAAGGCCCTCGAGTCGACAGAGAAAAGAAGGAGTTTCCTAGGCTGCCCCCTCCTCTTAATTTACATTACATAAAACCGTATTCCCTTGCGGCCTGAGTGATCCCCTTCTCTGTTATCGCAACTGTCCCCCCCAAGAACTCGACGCGAATTACAGCCCGTCTTTTATCTCTTGGTAGAATTTCTTACGTTTTTCAAAGACCCTTACCTGCGACTTACAACTGATAGGCGCTTGTTAGACGCAGCGCGTATCATTGTCACTCAGCCAGTACTATCTTTGATAGCCAAGCGTTTTTGATTTTGTCTGCGTTTCTGCGTCTGATAAGGGCCCTTTTCACACTCCAGTACGCTGTTGACCCCCGTACGACCCCCAATCCGGGCTGCATTTCCTATCTCTTGCGCCCGCTCCCCCTACGCCCGCAACCGCAAAGCAAAAACCCAACGGGCGCACACTTGCCTGTCTCGATTCTTTGCGCCCGTCGTCGTCTTGACGTTCCACCTCGTCACGTAACAGAATTCCCGTTTTGCGTCTCTGGGGCGTTTGCCGCTGCGCGGCAAATCGTCTAGTAGCCCGGTCTGGGTAATGGCAGACAAGATGTCAATCGATAAGGCGGATCCTGCGCAACACCAAAACAACAACAATCACCTCAACGGCCTAAACGGTCATTCTCGGGAAGAGACCGACTCTCTCGTTGGCTCCAGCCCTGAGGGCGATCATCACCCTGCGATAACCTCTGCTGCCAATGCCACCCAAGAGCCTCAGCAGCCCAAGAGGAAGGGCGGCCGCAAACCTGTAAGTCTTGTCTTGTTTTCCTCTTACTTACACCATATACACACTACACACTGTTTTCCATCTATCTATGAGGATAGCTTATTGTCAAACAACACGATGGGATTGGGATAGATCAAGACAATACCTCAGCACAGCTTCCCCGCTCTCACCTCGGGTCTTACCCATGTGTCTCTCTCCAAGACAACATGACGCACATACACACCCGCCCTTGAACAGTGACTAACAGAACATGAAAAGATCTATGCGACTTCCGAAGAGCGAAAGCAGAGGAACCGACAGGCTCAAGCTGCTTTTCGTGAACGCCGAACTGAATACATAAAGCAACTCGAAGAGACCATCCGCGTCCATGAGTCCAACCTCCACAACCTCCAGGCGGCTCACCGCACTGCCGCCGATGAGTGTCTGATGCTTCGATACAAGAACTCGCTTCTCGAGCGTATTCTTCTCGAAAAGGGAATCGATGTCCAGGCTGAGCTTCGCGCCAAGACGGGTAGTCCTAACTTGGGACCAACCCATATGCCTCAGAACCTCGTTCAGCCTCCTCCTATCCAGCGTGCGATAATGAACCGACACCACCAGTCTCGACGATCAAACTCGAACATCGCCCCCAAGGCTGAGCCTGTGCCAGTACTGCCACCCCCGCTGCAACCTCATTCGAATGCTACCTCACCCAAAAATCGACCTACACCATCGTCTCATTCCAACTCGCCGAGCAACACTGGCTCCGCCTTCTCTCCTGCCGCCTCGGATAACATGTCGATGAGAGGTTCGATGACTAGCATGTCGCGCCAGCAGATGCCCCAGCAGCAACAGCAACAGATGCCTCAGAACACACAGGCCCCTCGATCATCGATGATGCAGAATGGTGGACGGGGAGGTCAAACAGGATCCGGAGCTTCTTACTACCCTACCCCTGCCTTCCAGAACCATATTGAACAACTTGGTAAGTTTTCTCGTGTCATTTCATCGACAACACATCCTAATCATTCATGTAGAGCAAGAATATGAACAAGATGGCATGATTGACGAGCCTGAAATCGAAACACCAGCTGGTCATGGAGGATACCCCTCAGGCTACAATGGAGAGAACCAGCAGCCTATGATGATGTCGCCTGCCTCTAGCGGACCTGGACACCAGATGACGCCATCTCATGAACCCGTCCAACAGCCACAAACCACGCACTCGCAATACCCATCAATGACCCAGCTTTTAGACCAGAATGGCCTGGATTGGGACCCTTTTGGATTGAGTGCTAGCATGGCATTTCCCAACGGGCAGCAGTTTCAGTTCGAACAAGCCAACATGAGGTGAACTTGGAGCTCGAACAAACCTCTGGAATTGGTCACCTAGAGGGTCCATTCATCGACAGATGCCTGAAGAGCTGCTATCACGGGAGACTCCATACTTCCGTCAGCTCTCGCTCAAGTCTTGAAACCCATGGTCGAGAGTCTGGGGGGTTGAGAAACCACTCCTTAACATAAACCTTCGCGCACCATTGGCATGCTTCATGAAGATAAAAACACTTAACGGTCGCACTTGATTGAAAGGCAATTTCGACGCGATTGACTTGTTGATTCTTCTGCGGGATGTGCGATAGATATATCCCACCGCAACAGACTTGAGCAACAGGCTCACCACAGCGAGGCCTATAGTCATACCCATTCTCCATGTAATATCGCGCTGGGGATGAGTAGGGCTATGGTAGCATCCTGATGGCAAGGCATGTCGAAGGACTTGACGACTACAAGCAAAGACAGAACACTTTAGCATAAAGATTATGCCGTGTTGAACAGCTCTAGCAGTACTATATACAAAAGCACCTAATTATCGCTTCTCACAACTTTTAACGACAAATCATTTCAAGAGCGAGATATACCTGTCGGCTTAAAACAAGTGATGGGACAGTGGCGCAGAAAGGACACTGGAAAAAAGAAAACTAGTATTATATTACGATGTCGGGATTTGGTTTGACTGAGGACTCAATGTTTGAGGATTTCTAAAAGTTATATGATCAGACAAAGGATCTGTTGAAAGCGGTGTTTATTTTTGAGATATCAAATCATGCAATAGTTGGTTATAACGGGACATGAGACTTGAACATAGCAATTGCGTAACGAAGCACGCAGTGAATACCATCTTTTGCAACATGTATCGCTCTCCAATAACTCTTGATCATTGTCCCTCGTCGATCTCACCGAGTGGGACAGCGGCTGAACCTCTAGTCACTAACATTACCCCAGAAATGCACGATCATAGACAAAGGGGATTGGAGCCAACAAGGAACCAAGCAAGACTTGGACTGGGGAAGATGCCACACGATGTGGGACAAGGTGACAAGAGGACAAGGTTAAGCAAGTCAAGGTGAATCTTGGCGTAGTGCCGAATAGCCACGAGGCTTCTTATGCGTTATGTAAGTGTTATTAATGGCTTCGCTGCTTTAGTCCCTAGTTAGTTGACACTGGGGCGAGGCCTGTGATCTGAAGTCGGAGGCGGGTCGGAACGGATGCGGGATAATCAGTGGGACTTGTAACTTTAGATGATCGACGATAGTGTGAGTTTGTTTGACGAGAGTGTGAGCAAAGGGGGAAGGCTGGGAAATTGCGGAAGAAGACGGCGATGTTCTGGAACCCCTATTGTTAGTATTGAAGCCATCGTCTTTAAGGGCAGAGGTAAGTCAGACAGGACGAACTAAGGAAGATTACATGGGGATATTCTACTTTGAATACTAAATACCTGGCCTTTAGATCAGTGCTGCCCGGTCTGAACGTTATGTCCTTCATGAGCTCAATCATGTAAAACGATTCGACATACACTTATATAAACCTAGAAATATGCTCCAACGCTTTACCGCTTTATATATACGCCAAAAGCATGATTCCAAACACAATCATCCTTGTCCAGTATCGCATATCCAGCATGTGAGACGCCGCACTCTTCGGAAGTATATTGGTCTCTCCAGCCTTATCCGCCTCATCGATGCTACAGACGACCTTACATGCGCCCTTACTATCATCTCGACGTACCAGCCCACCGTCTTGTTCAGCATCGCTCTCCAACCTGCGACCATCGAAACCTCTCTTTTCCTCGTTGTCTTTTGTAACATTATACACTATGTCGATCCACTGGATATGCATATATGCTGCACCATTGAGGCTCATATTCCCGCTCCACGAACCACCGTCGCTCCAAGCGTTGAGAATGATCTGTGCCGGGTCCTTCGGTGTCTGGAATTCTATACTGGCAACTTCTTGACCATTAGCATACCAGGTAGAGCGTTTGGGCGTCCAGTCCAATCGGTGCACAACCCAATCATCCCACTCAACACCCTTGGGCAGCGTGCCGTTACGAGTAGCTTTGGGGATATCGTCGCCATCCTCTGTGAAAGAAGGCTGATTTGTGTACTGGACCCGGTTCTTGGGATCACGCGTCATGATCTCGATATCAGCTTCTTGTACAGCAGCTAGCTCTTCACCCCCAAGGTACGTGAAGATAGCCATGCATGCACCCGCGCTGCCGGTGGCACGGGCGAGCATCCGTACTGAGACGTAGTGATATGTCGACACAGACTCGAACTCTGCAGCGCTCTGGAAACCGGGCAGCCGCATGGTTCGCATGGTGAGGAACGTATCCGAGGCTGCGTCTTTGTCGTCATTCTTTTCAATGTAGACGTTGTTGGGGGAGTTGATCATTAGGACAGTTGCATCGCCTGAGAGACTGACGCCTTTCCCGCGATTGCTCCAGTCTTGAATGCTCCAGCTGTCATCCCAAGTGTCGCTGTTGAAATAGTCGCTTGTTACACCTGCTTTTCTGGAAGCATTTTGGACAGGACTGGGAACTCCCGCATAGTCCCCAAGGTTTCGGTAGTCATAGAAACTATGTCGTGAGTAATATGCAGAGTTGGTGCCATTAGTGAGATAGCAGTCACACTCATCGTTTGATGATCCATGAACTGTGGCTACTAACACAGTGAGCTGTATGCAAAACAAGCGACTTGGCCAAAACATAGCTGTCAGTCAATCAACCATGAACAACAGAAGCAGGGACAAAACGTTGATGAAAGCATTGTCATTGATAAATGTCAGGAGCTGAGAGCTATTGAATTGGCTTATGGACCTCCTTGAGGTCTTTGCCCATTCAGAACGGTCGAGGCTTTGCTTAGCCTCATTCCCTCGCAGGAGGCCTTCGACAAGTAACACGGCTTCCTACGACAATTGCAGTTTACAACGCATTGAGTTGATACCATGGACTTCGCCGAGTAGACCCATTGAGTTCAGATGTTGTATGATTGCCGTATAGCTCTGAGAATGTAAGGTTAAGTTGTATTTCCAAGACATTCCAGACTGACAAGCTTGGAGGTTGAAGAGGTCACGTGATCAGCATCATCCGCCTAACCGGGAAGGCCCCGCCTAATTTATGCAGCATTACAGGCGCCGCTGATTCATTCTTCATTATTATTCGCATCTACTCTGTACATTCACCATCTTTTTGTATCCTACGTCGTCACAAACAACGATTCGTTTTTCGACGACGTGCACAAAGCACTCTTGCTATGTGAAGCGTAGCCTGCGACTCCATTTACTGGATGACAAAAACCACACTCGCTCAGCTTTGCTAAGACAAACTCCAGGTGCATAAGTATCACGATGACACTGTCGATTTTCGTAAACTCATTTTTGGGATGATAGACGCTTCAACATCGCAACAACAACCGCAACAATCGCCATGTCGTCGCCTAAGCCATCCGCAGGCGTAGAGGAGCCTGCAGCTCAGTCGCCAAAGCCAGAGTCGCCAAAGCGCGACGGCGCAACCGAACCAGTGGAGGAGAGTTCAGATCGCGAAGATGGAGAGGCTTCTGAATCTCCCAAGGAACCTAACAGCGCCCCCGATGATAAGGATGCGCCTCCTCTACCGAACGAACCGACGCCAGATGGACCACCTTTGCCAAGCGAGCCTGTACCTGGTGGCCCTCCGTTGCCCAACGAGCCTGCGCCGCAACAAGAGGATGATGGCTGGGACTGTCAGTGGGACCCAAACACGCAAGCTTGGTTCTTCGTGAATCGCTTCACTGGCAAGTCTCAGTGGGATAACCCTCGTATTACCACGAGCGCTCCTATACCCGCTGCCCCGGGCACCGCCCCAGGTGTTCCTCAACCTCCAGCTTCAGAGAAACCTGTCGCTGGAGGCTACAACCCGGCAATCCATGGCGATTACGATCCCAACGCTTGGTACGCAAAATGTACTCAAGAAGAAGACCAAATTGCGACCACCAGCGCCGGCATCACTGACCCTGCAGAGATATACGCCGCAACAGCAACGTTCAACCGCTTCACAGGCCAGTTCCAAGCAGCTGGCCAAGGGCCCGAGCGTCATAGTGATGAAGCCAAGTCAAAGCGCCAGATGAACGCCTTTTTTGACGTTGAGGCCGCAGCCAATGCTCATGACGGCCGGAGCTTGAAGGCAGAGCGTTCTGGGAAGAAGCCTTCCAAGGCTGAACTGAAGCAGTTCAAAGAGAAGCGAAGGGCTCGTAAGGAGGAAAAGCGTCGCGCTTGGCTCAGGGACTGAGACTAGCGGGACTTTTTCTATTTTCGTATACTAGGTGGCATCATTGCTCGAAGGCGTTCTTATGGTAGGGAGGAGTTGGTGGGCCGTTTCTGGATTTGATTGAAGAGACGACGGCCGCTTTGGATGTAGACGTGCTACTGTGCATTGAGAAGAAGGTCGGTGAAGGCTAGAAGGCTAGGGATCGGCTCATATATTTATACCCCAATAAATCTTTTAAAATTACTTTTCTATGTCCCGTGAAATGTCTAGTCCTCATCTTCATCTTCATCTTCATCGTCCAGTTCCATATTGAGATGAACGCTCTCATTATCATCATCGTCATCCTCTTCCTCTTCAGGTTCCTTGGCCACAACTGGGGCCCTTTGAATAGGCGCTGGGAGAACACGGTCAGGAGAAGAGGACTTTTCCAGAACCTGTCTCTTCGGAGGTGCAGAATCTGAACCTTCGTGCTTTCGCTTTGGCGGTGAGGATGCCCGTGCGAAGGCATTCTCAGTTGAGGGAGCAGCCTTCTCGATAGGGGCAAATGGATTGCTCTGAATGGGGAGATTCTTCTCGGCATGTGGAGCTGTGGGCAGTGCTCCTGGCTTGAACAAGTCACCCTTCTTTTCAGGCACTGCGTCTTGCTCCTCGACATCACCATCCTTCATCTCCTCATCTTGCTCCTCTTCCTCTTCCTCCTCTTCGATAGAGAGAGCCTCTAATGGCTCTTCACCCTCAGCGAGACTCTGAGCACCCGCACGAATGTTGGTGCGCAGAATCTCAAGACCTTTGTCATCAGGGAATTGCTGAGTAAGATGGGGAAGAATGCTAGGGTACACTCTACCACGTTGGTCCTTGTATGGGTTGAGAACACTTGCCAGCATAGCGTCACGGCTATTTGTCAAGATAGCTGTCTGGTCAACGAGACCACGCAAAGAAGGCTTGAGATGTCGCTGTGGTACTTTTGACAGAATAACGGGCAAGAGCTTTGCAGCAGCGGCCCTGTGCTTGGACTCTAGGGAAGGGGTTGAGATAACGACGGCGGCTTGAGGCTGAAGGAAAAGATCAGCGTTGGCGGCGATGCTGTTCTTCTTACTGTCGGTGCCAGTTGCCGCTGGCTTCTCAGCCTCTTTAAGGTGACCTGCATCTTGTTGCAAGTCACGACAGCAAGCGCCAAATACAGGGTCTAAGCTACCAACCGAAGGCTTGGATAGTGTTGGGCCAGAGATAAGCAAGATCTCTTTGAGGACAGTGTATCCGGTCGTTCGGACTGTGGGAAGGTTGATTCCTGACTTGAATACTCGGACAAGGTGGTCAAGGACCTCTGGGGCAATAGACACAGCGTTCTGACCCAGACGCTGGAACAAGGCTTCAATGAGGTGCAGAGCAGCGATGTGAATATCTGGTAGCGCAGCCCAGAGTTCTTCCTTCTCTTCCCTGGCAATCGCAGCGTTGGTCTGAAGCGCTTGATCCCATGTTTGTGATCTGGGCGAGAGTCTGGCTATGAGAAGCAACCGAGATGCAGCGTCAACAAGTGCGCTGGTGGGTATCGTAACGGGCGCCTTGGTAGGATATCGCAGACAATCAGAAAGATACTGGAAGAGGCCAATTAAACGATCAGCCCCAGCGTTGGTTCCTGACCATGCTGGGAGCTCGTCCGCAGATAAGCCACCACCGTTCGGCTCATTATCGAGTTCAACTTGCGATCGAGTGAAGCCGCTTGTTCCCTCCCATGATTCTTCAACGGCTCTCAGGACCTGGTCAGCTGTAGAGTGCAACTCCTTCAGGAGAGTGTCGATCAGCTTGGCCCACTCATCACTACCTCCTGACTTGGCCGCAACATGGTGAAGCGAGATAACAATTTTTCGCGAAGCTCGCTGAAGGCTTTGTGGAATGATAGTCTCATCTGATTGTGTAGGAACAAGATAAGGCTTGACTGCTGTTCTGAGCTTGGAGTTTGAAGGCCGAATGGTTGTTGGGTAAAGCGGAATCAAGGCTGATAAAGCGTCGCAAATAGTCTCAATGACAGATAGGGGCGTTTGGAGCTTTTCGCCGTTCTTGGGCAAGCTGATGAGCTTTATGCAAGCTGTAACAAATGTTGGGATTGTTGGTGTGGCAATCTCGCGGACAAGGGTCTGATATGGCTGGACTGAGATGTAGATGCGTGTAAGAGCCACAATGGCCAACTCCTTTGAAGTAATGGGATCGCTTTTCTGTGAATTGTTAATAGTGAGCCTATAGAAATGAGTGCATTGACTTACCTCAACTACAGACAGGAGTCCAGTGACCCATGGTTGACAACCTCGTAGGATCTCCCACCCACCAACGTCAACCACAGTCTTGATTATAGCAACTGCAGCGAATCTAGCCTCGCGACTTCGTCCGTTCAAGTGAGTGGTAATACTCGCCTTGAGCTTATGGACAAGCTGAGCGGCTTCCGGGGAGCTATCCTTGACCTTGCGGTCCGAAGGCGCTGACAATGGCTCCTTGCAGTGTAGGATGTGGTTGATGAGAGATGGCAGCGCATGAGGAAGCTGAGTTGGCGGAATGGAGGTGAGTTTGCGGCATAGAACCCGCAGGTCGGGTGGAATTGAGGCCGCCATGAGTACTGAATCCTATATGAGGTTTTCTGAGATAGTTTGTGAGGTCTCAGATGCTTTGCGACAAGTTGAAGCTTGAAGATATTGGCCAAGACAAAAGTAAATCAACTCAAAGTTGATACTGCGCCGTCACGTGTAAAAGGCGAGTACAGCAGTCGCAGAAGAGGTTCAGATATGTTTGGACAGAGATTCAGTATCCTATTCTGTTGCTCAACTGGAAATCTCGGCTTATAACCTCGAATTATGATGAAGCTGTAAATTCATCAAGAAAGACTCCATTGAAACTTTTTTTCTGCTCTCAGTCCAGTAGGTCCCTAGCAACAAGCATACCAAAGGTGGGTTAGCTTGACTGGCGGGAAGACCCCTGACAGTGGATCCAACCGTGCTGTGTTAAATGGTCCTGATTGGCTTATGAGCTGAGTTACGTCGTCCCAGCAGCTCTCATCTCCAGCAAATACCACCTTAACCACCTTGAAAGTCCAGAGACCGCAATTATACCATTCACCTCAGGCAGCCTCTGAAACATCACGATTGATTTTTGTGACAATTATATTCGATATTGTAACTCTTCTAAAACTCGCATCAGAGGGTTTACATCTATTTAGCAATCCAATCTTCCTCGCCATGCGCTTGGCGCCATCTATTTGCTAGTCTAAGTCCGAGACCGACCTCCTGAAACCCTGAAATAGGTCCAACGAACCATGGGTGTAAGACGAAACAAAACGCCCTCGCCGATTATAACGAAGCTGACTCTGTATCGCTACTGCTCTATAGCCCAAGGCCGTGCAATACATTAATCAGCTGGACCATGCCCGCTGCGACGGCAACTGGGACCTCGTCCCGGAGCTTGTTCGCAAAGTCCGCAAGCATGCCCCCGACAGAGCTTGTACGCCATTCTTTGAATAGCTTCATGACAGTCACAGGGCTAATACTGTTCAATTAGGTCTCGCATTGACGGCCGAGACCGAATGCGCCATTGCCAAAACGACGGGAGCTGCAGCTCACACTAACACCGAAGGCCGGCCAACAACTGCTATAAACACAGGCGATGTCAATGTTACAGATCAACTACCGAAGCTCGAAGCGGCAATTGACGAGGAAGCCGCCCACGAGAACGACAGATTCCAGGCTGAGGTATGCGCGGGTTGGTTGCACTGGACATTAGGAGACTATAATCTCTGTGTCAGTCGACTACCCGAGAACAACTTGGAGGAAGGCGAGATCAACCCAGCCGACAGAAGTGCCGAATGGACGAGTGTTTGCTCACTTAAAGCTGCGTATCTCAAAGCTAACTGCCTTGCGCGCAGCGGCGAGTTGAAGCAGGCACTCTCTGCCTACCGAGCCGGTCTTCCATCACTTGGACGAGTTTGGGCAGAACAAGGCATGGGAAGACAGCTTCGCTACTGGTCAGAACTGTTCCTCACAGAATATTGCATGCTCTCGGGCGAAGCATACCGAAGCAACGAAATCACACAGGTCGACGCTGATTCAATGGCGGGTTATCGAGCGTGGGCAAGATTTTGGGATACTATGTCTACTCCCGTCACAGGAGGATACGGATTTAAGGGTTCCGTACCTCGAAGAACGGTATGGAGAGAGTACTACTTTGCCCTCTCGTCGATTGTTGATACCGATCAACCTTTTCCTACCGGGTTTGTGAGCAACACAGCGGGCGACCTTTCACCTCGGAATCAGCTGCGCATTGAGCTCAAGCATGCCGAGGCTACGTACCAGACACTTTTGCTAGGCGAGACATCCTTCCCCAGAGCCGACGAGGAGCGCGAGGAAGTCGAAGCGTTTGTCAATCAGGTACTACGAAACTGGTCTATTCTTTGTGGACGAGGATGGAGTGAAAAGGACCTTGGTCAGGGTGGACGAAACAGCCTGAGCCGTGGAGTTCTTGACATTCTTTACAGTGCTGCCATGAAGACCTATCATTCAACATCTATTCTTCGGTCTCTCTTCCTCGTTCACCTTTCGGTCGCCGAATTCGACCTCGCTTTCAAGGCCTTCGACTCCTACCTTGAGATTGTCAAAAAGGGCAAGGCTCGTGTTGACAAAACCGGACTTGTTGAACCTAGCCTGGACGACGATGCGACCGTTCTCGAAACAATCTCGCAGTGTATTTTGGCCCTCTGTCGATATGGCCAACGACCTGCAGCGGAAAAGGCGCACCAGCTTGGATCCGAGCTCGAAGACTGGTTGGCTAAGTTACCGCAGATCACCTCGCAAGATAACCCCACGCCTGTAATTTCGGAACACAATGAGCTTAGCGCTTCACATCCGCCCGTGGCACCGCATACTATTGCCCTTGCATGGCAAGCTATTGGCCTGTCCCAGGCTCATTGGTCAAGAATCACATATGAAGCCTCGGCTAGAACCGAAATTCAACAAAAAGCTATTCGCTGTCTAAGGAAGTCTCTTGCAGCTGAGCTTGGGCGCTCAAAGGATATTAGGAGCTTTTACGCTCTTGGCCTTCTATTGGCTGAGCGAAGAGAGTTGACTGCTGCGATTGAGACCGTCAGAACTGCCTTGACAGCAAGCAAGGATCAGGAAGAGAACTACGATCTGGTGTATGGGCCATATTGGCAAGAGCGTTCTCTTATTCCTGTTTGGCATCTACTGGCTCTCCTGCTCAGTGCTAGGCAAGATTATAGCATGGCCGCGAGGGCTTGCGAGGGTGCTTTGGAACAGTTTAAAGATACTACAGTTCTGTTTGGTAAGGCCGACCAAGCCTATAGAAGCGAGCACCTCAACGAGGCGGAAAAGGATACTTCGACGGAAGACAAACATGGCCTAGTCGATGATATGGATGATGGTGAAAAGGAGAGCATCCTGGAGGTGAAGATGACACAACTTGCATTGATCGAGCTACTTGAAGGCCCAGACGTGGCTGTAAATGCCAGCTTCGAATTGCTGACTCTCTTCTCGAGACTGTTTGGCAACGTTGCAGCCCAGCCCAATCTAAACCCTCCCAAGGCCGTGGAACCACCAAAAACTTCTGGCACGCTTAGGAGCATTAGGGGAACCATCTTTGGCGGCCACGATCGATCCAGACCACCTACGAGGCAGGTCTACACTGCCGCGGGTGACAGGAACCCCAGACCTCAAACTGCAGCGACCATGCGCAGCAGTGCGCCGACGATTCAGGTTACGGGAGATAACGGATCCCTAGCAGAGTCGCGACCAAGGACATCAGCATCTTCAGTGCGTCGTAATAGAAGCGCTACGGGTAGAAGCAACAGTCTGAAGAAGCGCGATAGGAGCCATAGCCGACAGCGATCCTCTAGTATTGGGGCTATCTCGTCTGCCCATGGACCTACAGTTGTCGATGGAGATGTCTTTTTCACACCAGCTGGTCCAAACGGCGAGGTTGAAGAAAACGAGCAGCAATCGGACTTCTTTACCTACTCAAGTAAACGACACTCCGCAACGAGAGGCTCATCTTTCTCAAGGCGGCCTGTGGGACACCTTAACTCGTATCTCTCAACGCAATCGAAGTCAACTGACTACTCTGAGCTGTCAGTTGACAACGCTTACGCATCCACCTGCATCTTACCACTGGTCCATTTCCCCAAGGATAAGGAGAGGGCTCAACGAGTGGTCCTTCTGATCAGAGTCTGGCTCATGATTGCTGGTTTCTACCGCAGGGCAGGCATGAGGGAGGACGCCAAAGGAGCTGTCACAGAAGCACAGCGACTTATTCAGAGCCTTGAGGCCGATTTAGCTAGGGATCCATCTGGTTCAGGTGCTCTCAAACCTCCTAGCTGGGCCGAAGAGAAGACCGTAGAGGACCTATGGAGTGATCTATACGCAGAGGTAAGATACAACCCCCTCACTGCAGGATATGTGATGTATACTAATATTTCTCATAGCTTGGTCAACTATCCGTGTCAAAAGGAGCCCCCTACGCAGCCCGTAATGACTTTGAAACCGCCCTCACACACACGCCAAACCATCCTACTGCAATCATCGGCCTTTCTAACATTCTGCTCGATATTTACAGTGAAGATCTCCTCCCGCCACCTCCGATTCCGCCTTTGGAGGATGCTTTGCTCAACCTCAACATGGGAAATAGCTCAAAGTCAAATTCAAGCAGTCAAGCAGTCTCTCCCCTACCTTCGACACCCCTCGGCCTGGGCCCTTCATCAGAAACCCAATTTACTCCCAAGGAACCCATGGACGATGACGAACTTCCTGCCGCGTACAAGGCCACCCGTCTACCGCTTGTCGACCGTCTTGCGGCTCGTGATCGTGCGTATGCCCTCCTTTCGACACTCACCAAGCTCGGTTCCGGCTGGAACTCATCTGAGGCGTGGTTCACACTGGGCCGCGCCTACGAAGAGAGTGGCCAGCCTGACAAAGCAAAGGAGGTGCTTTGGTGGTGTGTGGAACTTGAAGAGGGAACTGGTGTTCGGGACTGGCGCTGCTTGACTGGGGGACGTTACATTATTTGATGAGGCTTTTGGGGTTCAGACAATATCCATTAGGACTTTTTGAACGGAGAAAACTTCCAATGCCCTATGTTGCTCATTTTTCAGCCGTTGATACTGTGTTCCATGGAGTGGTACTACGCTTATAACTCTTCTCTTCTCTTCGATACAACACTCTGATAATTTACTTGTGGACCTCGTGCAGACACTCATCAGACACTACCTTATAGACTTTTAACAAGATCTTGTCAATTTTATGATCCAGGGGGGTATTTTAAGCATAATTTAGTCACAAACTTCAACTCGGTTGGTGAGAATCCTACGTTGCCTACTCGAGAATTCTGGATAATAGTGTTCAGGGGGGTTGTACTCTGAATATGCTCCCTAGTCAACACTGTCAATTGATTCAGTATATCGCTATGTAACATGTATCGCTGTTCGGACTAAAAATTGTTTGCTGACGAAGAGAACAGCTCAAGCCAAGTAGAATCCTTTTGCTTTTTTTGACGTTTCACTTGTGTCTTCGCTTCCCTTGATATGTCCCTTCAACTCCTTCTGCGCGCCATTCAAGCCCCAAACCTGACGTACCTCATGAAAGCAAGGATGATCAGAAGAAGTGGCAGTAGGTGCTTGCTGCATGAGAGGCGGTACAGGAAGGATGATGGCTGCTGTGCAACAGATCATGCTTGGGCAGAGGCAGAGGACTGTTGTGCGGAAGACGATTGCTGGAATGAAGCTGAGGGAAGCTCTCATTCATCGATGAATATGCCCTTTATCAAGCTGATTATCCGGCTTCCAGTTGGCGAATTGACTCTATTTTGTCCCGTTTGCTGATATGAGCCACTACTGGTACCATTAGATTGAAATGACTCGCCGGAAGTATATCCGCTGTTATCGCTTTCTTCCTCGTCATTGTTCCTGTCGGGTTTCCACATGAGGTTGCGTAAGCAATTTGGGATAGCCATCAAACTGTCACGCAAACTCTGTAGGCGGGAAGTCACACAACCTATTTGTTTTGCCCAGGTAGTTGTTGGTTGTGTCCCACAGTACTGCGCATCAGCCTCCGTATTTTCTTCAGCAAGGATAGCATGCGCATCCGGGACATTGATGACTTCTTCAGCACCAATGATTTGGGTTATGCCCTCATCTAAACGCCACTCGCTGATGCTGTTGTCAACACGTTCAATGAGGGCCTGAATTTCATCTTCTACAAATTCGCTGTCTCGCTTTCTTTGGGAATTTTCCTCGTTGGACGGTCCAGCCGAGCACGACATCTGTGGTGAGAGCTTCGAAATAATATATGACAGAGGATTGGGGCACAAGGCTTGCTCAGCAGACGCTGGAAGACCTTTAGAGTGATTGGAGGGCGAATTCGGTGTCATTGTGCAATTGTTCTCTGTTGTGTGAAGAAGGGAAGTTTGACGTGCGTTACTTGCGACTTGTAACGATGAAGATATTGTTAAAGAAAGACGATAGAAAGTGTGTAATAGAATGGAATCAGAATTAGATGATGATGGTAGTATCTGTGAAGCTGATGGTGCAAGAAGAAGGCCAGGAATCAGGAGGAGGCATATCCCCCATATAGGTGATGCTCTGCTGTGTGGACTTGCCCCTTTCATAGATTCAAATTGCCATACAGTAAGTACTACTTGCCTCGTTATCTTGTGAAGAAGTAACGCCCGAGGAAAGCGGAAGCACCAAAGTTCACCAGATCAGGAAAGTGATATCAGGCCTTCATTCTCGTAATAGTCTGCGTTAGACGATGTACCTAAAGTCAGGGGTTCCTTACCCAGATAAACACATCTTTGACTGATGGCCAAGGGTCGAGGTATTCTGAAGAACATTAAAAAAACATCATCACGAGTAACCAGTCAGCCAGAACAAACAAGTCATGTGCTTATGTAGAAGTGTATTTATTTCATCCTTGTCCAAGCCTCTCTACGCCCTCATCCTCCCCCCAACAGCTATCCACATTCCATAATACCCAGCCGCCCAAATGAAATAACTAAAAAAAGGGGGAATATTTGTTTTGACTGCGAATGACAAAGAAGACGATTCTTTTTAGCTCTAATAGGTCTGTCCACAAAACTCCCCGAACATGCGCCGTGAGGCTCCCATCCATCCATACATCCGCCCTTGTCTCCAATCGTCATCATCATGAGTTCAACCTCACCATGCATGCTTTCCAGACATGGCATCTCCTTCAAATTGTAATCGTATTTTCTCCTTCAGTATCTACTGTCGGGACTTTAGCAGGTTGTGCAGGTATGAAGCAAACTGCCTCTTGTCCGTCGACGTCGTAAGAGATCGTAAAAAGTCATCACCGTTGACCCCAAGGCTAGGGAAGATGTTGTTTTGGAGTTCCTGGATAAAAGACTCGCCTGTCTTGGTGTAAATGGTCTGCTCTAGACCTGCAATCTCTGTAAGAATTTGCTTAGTCTGAGCGTCCTGGTAAGGCCGGAAGTTGGGGTTCTTCATAACCTCCCAGCAAGTCGAGTGGAACCTTTGAATCATGAAATGATCAAAGCCAGGGAATGCAGGGTTGGGGCTACCAGAAGGAGCCGTTGGGTTCTGCGAAATAGTGGCAACGTCAGGTCCTCCCCATATAGCTGCCATTCTTGTCATCAGAGTGAAAGCCAGACGGCTACCGCCGATGTTACCCTCAAGGGTCTTGGCGAGCTCAATGATGGAAGAAATCATAGGCTCAAAGAAGCCCTGGTTAGATTCACTGACGAGAACACCATCTAATCCATTGTTCAGAATGATCTGGAGAAAAGAGAGGTATTCCCTCCTCAACTCAGCCAACTGGATCTCATCATCGGTACCAGCAATGGGTTCCGTAAGCCCACCGAAGATACGTTGAAGCAAAGGCGTCAAAAGCATGTTCAAGACCTCGTAAATTTCAGCCTTGAAGCCAAACACCACCTGATCCAGTAGACGAAGAAACATGGCCATCTCGTCCTTAGATGAGCTCTGGGACAGCAGTCCTTCAATCCACTGGGGCAGCTGGGGCAGCACAGCAGCACCAAGGACCCCCAACAGCTTAGAAAAGGCTGATCGGCAAGCAGTTCGGATCTCAGAAGACGAGTTCAGCTGGTTGAGGGCAATGAGAATGGCTTCGGCTGCGCGAGAAAACTCATCGGAGACAGCCTTGTCAGGAGGTCCATGTGCATTAGCGGAAGTGATGCCTGGAGTCCAGTCAGAGAACCCGTGGGCCAATGTACCCAATGCCATAACAATGTGGTGGACTTGAAGGGTGGCCTGCGCATCTCCAGACTTGGCTCGTGGGAGGTGTCCTTCCATGTCGGTGAATAGGGGGTCCATAACAGATCGGGCGTACAAGGCCTGCTTATCAGCAGGTGTACTTTGGGTCGAGGAAATACAGCCAATGGCTTCGAAAAGGTACAGTTGGCTCGTAAAGAGAGCATCCGCGGAGTGGTCAGATTCGTCTGAAGACATATCGTCATCGGCATCATCACCAGGGACCTCAGCCTTGATGGGCAAGAGATCTCCGATCGACTGGATGACTGTCTCTGCAACATTGCCAACCTGAGCACGCAGCTGCTTGATGAAGCGGTGGAACAAGTACCACGATCGTGTTTTTATGCGAACGTGGTCATGGTGAACCAATCGCACAAAGTTCTCTAGAACTTGAGGGATATACTGTAAGAGATGGTTCTCGAAAACAACGCAATATCTCACACAAATCTCCATGTACTGCAGAAGGATGGCGGGATGAGAGAAGTTTGCAATACCTACATTGGTTAGCATCACCACTGTAGCTGGTTTACTGAAGCACTCACCAGATTCAACCATCTTCTGCATCATAACCACTAACCTCTCCGAGGCCTCAGTAGAGGGCTGGTTTTTGGTGCCCAGTCCTTGGTTGGGAAGTGCAAGCTCGCCAAAGAGGTACATCTCATACAGTGCAAGATCAAGATCTCGCCAGTCCATTTGCGAGCCCTGCTGGTCAAGAGTTTGAAAAGTAGTGGCAACCAAGTTGCTGAGCATATCCATGTACAAAGGCTGGTCAATGGCCGCAATTGATTTTTGCAGATTCTGTAGCTTGCGACGTAGCTCTTGAAATTCAGCTTCATCTGTGAGCTCATCTTCATCACCCCAGTTGGTAGTCTCATCGTATCTCATCTTGTGGATGATGGCATCTAGGATTGGCGCAAGCATACCGCCGTAGTCTTGGTGGACAACAGTGAGTTTACGGAGGAAAGTGAGCAGGTCTGTCAGGGCGGGAATGACAGACGAGCAGACCTCATCATATTCGTCAGAGAAGAAGCGCAGAAGGAAAGGGAGGAACCCTTGGAGGTGCTGATTAGCTCTAGCGCGAGTGTCATCACTGATCTGGTTGTCCTCGAGGGCCCGTACGATATCGGAGAGTACGGTGTTAACTAACTTGGCAACTGCTTCGGCCAGGTCCGTATCGTAACGAGAGGTTCCCTTGTACTCGCTCAAAGGGGGGCTAGCAACTAATTGTTCAACAATCTCCCTGAGGTTAATGAAGGAGATCATCTCCATCTTGTCTGCCGAACGCATCTTCTTGCCGCATATCTCATTCAAGGTATCAATGGCGGTGTCGCGGACCTTGTCTTGCACATCAGTGCTTGGTCGGCCGACTACCGGCAGCAGCAGCCCGAGCATATCCTGGCTGATAACCAAGGAGATGTCCATCCAGCTAACCCACTTGCCCAGGACTTTGAGAACAAGTTCTACGACGGTATCGTTGTTCGAGTATCGTGTTAGGAGCTGCTTCCACGACTCAGACACCTTGTGCATATCCTGAGCTCGAAGCTGGTCCTTGAGCTCGGTATTTCGCTTGGCCTCGTTGCTCTGCCGTGACAGAAGCATATCGGCAATCTCGTCATGGATGGATCCCAGAGTTCGAAGATAGAAAACGACGCCCGGGACGTTGTCGGTGTTTGTGGAGAGACCGGTCAACTCAAGTTGGTCGTCGAGGAAGCTCTGCCATCCGTCTTGGTAAAGAAAGACAAACAAGTACGTCAATGTTTGTGTGAGCTTGTTCTGAAGGTGATAAGGGTCGGCTTCTTGTTGGGCGTTAGGACCGTATGTTTGGCGGCAGTATTGGAGAAGGGTGTCTTTGAGGAAAGCCAGGCTTGCCTGGTCGAGACCTTGAGTGTGCACCGCATAGTTGACCACTTCAAGACAGACCATGCGCACGACTTCTGATGTTTGAGGGGTTCGAGCGAAGAGGGTAGTGCAAGCTTGCCATCCTGAGGGATCGTTTCGTAGTTGGTTTAGGTATTCGAAAGCTTGCTCTTTGAGAGATTGATCGGAGGTGGGGTTCGAGAGAATCCCGACGGCATTCTCGACCTGAGCCATTGGGATCAGAGTTAGCAAAGAGACGATATCATGCATTCATAAGCTTCAGATAACAACCATCCCGTCGGGTCGGGCCTTGAGAATGTGGACATTGGGCCGATGCGGGCTTGGCCATCCAGGAGTGACGGCTGAAATGGCGGGGCACGAGAGCACCCCAGCGAGCGTCATGGGACAAAGACGAAGATGATGGAAGAATAACGTAGTAACTCACCTGAGCTTCCATGATCAAGATTCAGGTCGTGACAAACACTAGAGTGAGAGGTATTCCAAGTATGGACGATGCTGCTATAACTCCGGCAGCCTCAGATACACAGCATCCAGCATAGTTATGATAGAAAATAAATGGACAGAGTGAACAAGGCTACCGAGGGGTCATGCCTAAACGTGGTTGGTATTGAAAGCTGGGGAAAAAGAGCCTGTACAACAGGCAGGGGTACAGCTGATGGATCTGGAGCTATCCCAATGGCAGGAGCTTCAAAGAGAGCCGAAATGTGCACAAAAACAGGAGATTTGAGACGTTGATGCTGATTTTGGATTGGATAGCGTGTGAAGACTGCGTTTTTATCGAGATGTGCTATTTCTAAAAGTCGGTGCGCTGAACTTCTTGGGTCGATGTGGGGTAACTCTTTCGGCTCATGTTCGGTAAAAGGACCTCCCCCATCACCATCTCGGGAACCTCCATCATCAAGCTCATCAACTGCAAGGTACCAACCTATCTAAGCTCTCGTTGACATCTCATGTAACGAGATACTGCATTAGTTCTATGTCGATGTAGCACTGAACCTTGTTTGGAAACGCATACATATGCCGAAAGTCTTAACGGCTTGAGCTACTTTCGAACCCAAACACTATTCAACCCAAACGATTTCAACGCTCTGATAACTCTATTTCATGAGTTAAACATATATCGAATAGCATCCTTTGGGCAGATGTGAGCCGTAATGAACCTTCCAAGATTCGACATATCAGGTCAAACAGGCTACGTGAACCCTACTAGTGGGGTAGGGCAATCGAAGCAAGCCGTAACTCGATCTCCCTCTTCTTCTGTACTTCGATCTCGAGGCGCCCAGATCAGATACAAGTGAGTCTTTGAGGTTTCTGTGAAGCACGAATCAAACCTTCGTACACCTAGCCATGTTTGTTTGCATCGATCAAGGTGTTACCAAACTTATGCGTTAGTCAGACTTCCACTCACCAGCACCAACCAGTTGGATATATCAGATACGCCTGTGGTCTCAACACACTCTAGACAGCGAGGTGATTATTTATACCAAGAAATCATATGTTGATGCCAGTCAACTCGTATTGCGAGCGTGAGTGGCTGTGAGATAAACGCTCATATACCTCAAGCTCCAGCCGTTTCAACTGTAACTCAATGGAAGTAAGTATATGAAACTGCTAGTCGCCGAAAGATTAGGCATCGATAAGGTTGCCTTAACGTTATAACAGCGGTTCCAAAAGCTGGATGAAGCTCGAAATGATCAGGTATACGATCGTCGAGGCCTGAGATGAATGTCAATGAATGTCTCTTAAGGGCCGATTAAACCCCGCAGCAAAAGTACAGCGTCAAGAACTTGCATATTGCTGATCGCAAAAACAATGAGTGCCATCATATGTTAAGTTGAAATAATGGTTGGGTAAGGGGCCGAAATATTAGAGTCTGGAAACGCTGATTATCAGCGATATTGCCAACTCATGGTGGTAGGCGCTTCGCATGACGACACTCGTTTTGAACTTTTGGCATGAAAACTGATTCGGAAGAGCTGAGGGCCGATCAAATAACCGATGTTTCGTTCGGAGAATAAGTCGGCATGGCCGCCCTCTGAAACTTGGAACAAACGAATCTCTTGCTCAACGACAAGCATCGCTGGCCCATTACTCGAACGCATGACGTGAACTTGGGACCCAGCGTCTGTGGGCCGTGTGCTTTGTTTCTCGATAGTTCCTGGGAAAAAGTGACGATCGACAACTCAAGCGCTGAAACAACAGAGATCGACAGGCGCTCGGCGCTACACACGTGCGAAGCCTTCTTTGGTGAGCATGAGGGCGACTATCAATGGAGTAGGCAGCCCAAGATAGAGAAGAGTCGTCAGCTTCATTTCCCCATCTGTACCCTCCTTGTTGGTGCCAAGTTGGAGCTATGTATGATTGCCAAACATTGAGATATCCACTCTTTATCTTGCATTATTTAACAAGAAACAGTGTTTTAAGTCTCCTATAGCGGAGAGGTTTATTATAGATAGGGGATTTTTGGCTTATGCTGTTTCTGAAATGCGGGTGTTTTTTGATACGCGGGCTCTCGCTGCAACGATTCGTTGCCAAGCTTCCATGACAGGCGGCATGATCGTCAGGAGGAGGCGGCAAGCCACTACCGGCTGGGGCATTGGCTCACAATCAGCCAACACCCAACCGAGGAGAAGCAGGGGTCCAGCAGGGGTGTCCTAGGGGAGGCAAGAAAACTTAGGACCTTTATCCTAAGTGATGAAAAGACTTAGGTAAGTTTAGTGTATTCTAGTAGATTTTTAGACCTGTTTATTTCGGCACCCTATTTAAATGTCAGAAGTTTTATTACCCCCGAGGTGTTGATGCTGGCTTTGTTGTTACGGAAGCAGACAGCACAGCTGCCACAGCATATCGAACAAAAAATAAAGAATAGAAGTATCTCTAGCTGTGATTGTAATCGACGATCGAATACGGACAGTCCGATTAAATCGTCGATGGTGGACCTTTAAAAAAGCGAGCCGCGTAAGATGTCAATATTGTGGTTCTTTGTTTCAAATGAATTCGACGTCATGAGCTTCAAAAGTTGCTTTTTGATCAACACCCGCGAACTATCTAGTTGCTGATGGTGTGACAAGGAACGAGCATCGCGGGAATAAGCATTCATCCAAGGCCCAAGATTGGACGAGATTGAATTTGCGCTTGTGAGTTAAATGACCATAGCGACATCATCCGTGCTTCTTGAGCTTTGAGGTCTCTTTACAGTTTGTAATGCAATGCAATGTTACAATGTGAGATCATCGTCACCGCCTCGAAAATACCGTCTTGAGAAGCTGAGATCAAAGGCCTTCACCGACACAACTCCATAGTCTTCTCAATCATCTTTTTGTCTCACATTTTCGTATTTACAATTAACATTAATCTCTCCAAATCGATCCCAGTTAAGTAACCGAGATATGTCTTTTAAAGGCCTGTAATTTGGGGTCTATCGCTGTCCAGTTCTTCCAGATTTAGAACATTTGATCTCGGTTCTGGTTATATTGTGATGTTGCACTTTCGGCCCTCCTTCATATCCACATAGTCGATAAGCCTAGCTCACGGATCTGGTGATGAGCGTCAGCTGGCTGGTGTTTCTATCTTGGGGATTGCTTGTTCAATATAGCCTTCCGATAGCCTCAGCCTAATCTGAAGTACGCAATAGTCTAATCAATGCCAAGTTTTTACAAGAGATGAGATGCTCATGACATCCGTTTCTGGGGCGGAGTTCAAAGGGTGGTTGCAGTACTCTGTGGGTTCCTGCATTAGAGGAGTGGCGCTGGGAACCCTGTCTCACGGAGCGTTTAGTGTTGTATCAGATTTTGTGCAAGGAAGATGAAGCCAATCAAATGAATCATGCAAGCCCTGGATAAAGTCACAATGGCGCAGTGCTGATCTAAGATACCTTTCAATAATTCATTGGTTATTACAACTTGTGCTCTAAGACATCATGTTCCGTCTTTCGGTGTAGAGCCAACATGCTCAAGACGCCTCAGAGAACGCTGCAGCTACAAGAAATAAGCTTCAAGATAATGTTGAAAAATCTATATGCCGCATACCAGGTTGCACATAAGGCGAAACAAGACATGTCTTGGCCTTCTATCAAGGGTCTGGAAGACAATCGACAATCCCTGGCCCAACGTTTATGCAAACCTTTTCAGTGAGGCAAGGGCGCACAAAGGCTTCTGAGCCCCTGCATAAAAGGGTTATATGCTTGCACAAGTCCCTGTATGTAGCGGTCGGCCTCCAAACAGCAGGGGGGCAGGGAGGCTAGAGGCTACCTACCGCATTAGGTAGTAACGCAGCACCAACTTCCGCCACGGCCAGTTACCTTACCTCTCATCCAGGGAATAGGACACACCCTGGTTTCGCCTTTCATCAACTATCCCTGATCAACACGCACCAAGCATCGATCCTCATATGCCGCGTTCTAAGGTGAGGCCAACTAGACACAGTGGAAGGACACTCGAGAAACATAGCGTTGGATATTGCTTCGATAATCATTCCGATTCTTCATGCGTTGTAGAGGCTCATCGAGCTGTCATGCAACAGATTAACAAGCTTATACAACCTGTATCAAACCTCGACAAACTGTTCGCTAGACTTGGCGCCGCAGAAGTACCCCCCTCTTCTTTCAAACAGCCACTCAGAAGTCAAAATATGCCTGTCGATCGATGGGTGTGGCGGAATCCACTTTAGACGACCGAGATGAAGAGAGGGTGAAAGGACGGCGTTCGACTGGTCCACACCTTGTTTCCAACCACCAGTTGGCCACTGATATTTCGGGATTGATACCAGGAACCATACGTTCTTCCCAAAACGATCTAATCTCGGAGCATCTTTGCTTCTCGGACAGAGATTCTCTTGAGAGCTCGAGGAAAGCCTCACCACGCTCTTGTTTTGAAGGCTGAACTCGGCGGTCCGAGACCACAGTACGAAAATGCATTGGCGACATCTACCGTGCTCCTAGTCATGGACCACTGTCCGTGACCCAGATTCAGTGGTGATCCAACAGCCATCTTTCAAGGATGATGAGGGTCTCGGATCCACGGGCCACAGAAACGTCCATGGGTGGTCGACCGACTTTGAAAGACTGGGGCAGCGACATGGCTTCCCCCAGCTTTGATGGACCGTCTGCTAGGGCCGCACACTTCATCCCATGTTTGTTGCCTTTACTGGAAGCCCCTTGGACCCAGAATGGTTGACCTCCTGGATGATCTGGTACGTAATCTCCGTATAGGAGTTGATGCTCTTTGTGTGGATGGACATCGGTATTAATATGCGACCATCCTGCGGCCTCAAACTCGACTTTTCTTCTCTTTCTTCTTCAGCCCAACAAGCCATTTCTAAGCTGCCAGTTTCAGAAACTTTTGACCTCGGTCGTCCATTCTTTCACCACTTTCGATATATCAACATATTTTTGAGCTTATAGCTTCAGCCTTTCATTACCAACTTTCAACCAATTCTTCAAGATGCGTTACTCTACTGCCGCCGCTGCTCTCTTGGCCTCTGGTGCCATGGCCACCGAGGTCTCCAAGGTCTACGAGACCAAGCGAGTTACCATCACCTCTTGCGGTCCTGAGGTCACCAACTGCCCTGCTCGATCTACTGTCACCAGCAACACCGTTTACCCTGTCCCTCCCCAGGTCACCTCTGCCGAGCAGGGCAGCGAGACCACCGAGGAGGTCCCTGAGGTTCCCGAGACTACCGAGGCTCCTGAGCTTCCCTTGACCACCTCTACCATCTACTCTACCAACATCAGGACTATCACCTCTTGCGGTCCCGAGGTTCCTGACTGCCCCGCCCGATCTGGTACTCCCGTCGTTGTCACCGAGACCATTGCTGTCTCCACCACCATCTGCCCTGTTGAGCCTACCGGTGGTAGCGAGAAGCCTGGAAAGCCCGAGAAGCCCGAGCAACCTGGAAAGCCCGAGCAGCCCGGCAAGCCTGAGAAGCCTAGCCAGCCCGGTTACGAGCAGCCTCCCGCTCCTCCTGCTGAGACCAAGCCCGTTGAGACTCAGCCCGGCTACGAGCAGCCTCCTGCCCCTCCCGCTGAGACCAAGCCCGGCTATGAGCAGCCTCCCGCTCCTCCTGCCGAGACCAAGCCTGCTCAGCCTGAGCACCCCGGCAAGCCTGGCAAGCCCGTTGTCCCCGGACAGCCCCAGAACCCCGGTAACGGCACCGTCCCTCACCCTCCCGTCTACCCCAACCCTCCCGCTACTCAGAGTGGTGAGAAGCCCGTTGTTCCTCCCACTCCTGTCCCCGTCCCCAGCAACCCCGGCAACCCTGAGCAGTGCGTTCCCTCTCAGTCTGTGACTGCTATCACCAAGGAGTACACCACTGTCCTCACCAGCGTTGAGTACTCTACCATCCAGGTTCCTTGCCCTACTGGCACCACTCCCGGCAACCCTGGTAACCCCGGCCAGCCTGGCCAGCCTGAGGCTCCTACCGGACCTGCTGTCCCCCCTCCTGCCAGCACCCCCATTGGCGGTGGTAACCAGACGTGAGTATTCCAGATATCCCGACTTCTGATCAATTTACTGATTATCTTCCAGCGTTCCTACTCCTCCTGCCGTTACTGCTGGCGCTGCTACCTTCGCCGGCTCTGCTTTCTTCGCTGCCGTCGCTGGTCTCGCCGCTTTCATCCTGGTCTAAAACTATTCCCCTTTCTCTTAGCATCTGTTGAAGCCTGCAGGCTATGGCAACTTATGAACTCTTTTGTGTTTAATGGTCTTGCTGGAATGTACAGTACTCGAGTAGACTTTTGAATACATTGCTATTTTGGCTTACTTCTATGTACTTATATATATCTGATCCGCAGTCTGGGATATGCGATTGGAACTTATTTGCTATTGTTTAATTCTGACATGATATCCCTATATGTCGCATTCTTTGAGAACTATGTGATTCAACTTGCTCACAACTCATGTAAATTCTCAGCATGAATGTCGTTGCTATTGGGGCGGACACTAGTTGATGCCAAGGAGTATTGTCAAGCCACCCGATTGTAGACCCTGGCAAATCCGGGGTGAAGGGTTCGTCAATGCATATGCTCCACCCATCTCATTTCCCAACCTTGACCACTTGGGATCTGAAGCACCGGCGTCGATTATCCAAACGGGAACACGCAAATTGCCAAATGTCGCTTCAGGGAACTTGTCTTCAATGCATCTCGATCAAACGGGAAGATCGCTCGGTCTAGATTTTGCGTAACATGTGATTTGGGTCAGATGGTTTGCTTTACATGGATTCTTGAAGGGAAGTTCATTTCATTTGCCACAAGGTGAGTCTATGCTGGTGTCTGCTGACTCGGAGCTGGAATTGAAATGAGTAAATGAGCAAGAGGATGAATGCACATGTAGCTGGGTCGGTTTTCATAAAGACCTGTTTAGAGGGTTGGTTCAGTTGAGCGTACTAGCAAGACAGTGATGCCATTAGGTGCGTGCGTTAGTATTGAGGGTTTTCTGAAAGCTGCATTATATACTACGTGCCACTCAGATAAAATGGTATCTAGGGTATCAATATCATGGGAATCACGAGCATGGTAGGTGTTCTCTACAGCCTCATGAGAAGAGATTCGTCGAGACTGATACTACCCTGTACTCGCAACTCATGAGTTTCTATCGGCGCCCTTTTTCCCATTACTTATTAAAACAACCATATGTAGTTTTATGCAATATATTGTTTCTCATACTTCTGTCATTAGATGTTTTGTCAAGATCGATCTGGCATGAATCTCGTTTCCCGAAACTCACGTCCAATGAAAGCTAACGCTTCGTGGTGTAAACAAACATCGCATTCCTTTATGGTTTGAGGGTGCCAGTTAACTCAATGGAGGAAGAATTGAATTCTGGAAGTTACAATATGGTCCTCCCCTCCTGACCCGTGGTCAACAGAGTGTTCGTGACAGTTGCGGGCCACAGTGCTGAGTCTTGTTGAAGGGTAGAGGATATAGGACGACAATTAGGCGAGAACCTATCTAGGCGGTCAAAATAAAAAGAAGAGTTTACCGAAGGAAATAAATAATTTGGAGATATCAAGAAGTACGACCATATTATACATGGCCTTTCAGAGTGTTGTGACAGAACTCAGGGCTGGAATCAGAAATAAGCTCTTCGCATCCCAACGAACTCACGATTTTGTCCCAGTGACTATCTCGCAGCCGACTGCGAACTCTCAGAGCGATAGTAATAGCCAGGTGCTGAGTTCCTTTGCACTCTATAAGTGACCCGTCTGTTCACACGTGATTGAGGTAGTGAGAACAAGACGATAAGGGACCATGTTCTAACTGCATATATGGTGCCATGTAAATGGAGACCCGTTGATATGCTATCTTCTCTCTAGCCCCCTACAAGATCACATGAACATGGGCTTTATGAAGCCAAGATGGGAGCATATCCTTCCAAAAGACTCTTAGGTGGACACTTGCCCGTCAACTCCATATTTCTCGTTGATCATCGCATGTAATACTTCTCTGATACATGTTGTACTTGTGTAAGATCATACCAACGCCGAATCGCTTTGTATCACTGAATACCTGCCCTTTGTAATCAATACTTACAAGTGTTAGTCCTTGTGAACCAACTACGCTGGTGCCTTACCTTGGTTCAACTTCTTTGTCCTAAGGTAGTCAGGTAAGACGGGTGTCTCCGAATTAGCAGAGGCAACCAATTCCCCGCATAATAAGAATATATGGATGTCTTTGATTTCTTGGAGAAGTTGGGGAAACTCAACGCCACAACAAAAGTACGTACCGCAGATATCACAACTTCTCAAGTGAGAGAAGTGCTAAGCCATTCAAAGCCCGTCCCTTTCAGAATGGACTTGACAAATATGTTAAAGCCCTTCATTAGTACCAAGCTTGTCTTTCTTAGAAAACAGATTTGCAAACTCAAGGAAGGGAACTTGAACACGAGACTGAGAGGAACTTAGAGGGATAGTGTTGGCGATAATTGGGTGGCTATGCTCAGAACAGCTTGGAATATTCTTATCTTGTGATATGATTGTATTAATTTTGACCATGCTGATGATAAGGGGAGTATTTTATGAGTCCCCCGTCTTGATTCGTGAGAAGGATTAAAGTGTATGACAGCAAGCGAAGGAACCGCTCTGTACGTAGCATCGGCCCTGCTTTGGGACGTCAAATAGAGAGAGCCTTGGAATATGCGACTACATTGACGAAATTCATCCCGTCATCGCGAGATCTAACTTTGATATTTACTGTGGGCCAAGTCACGATGTATTCGATGCGCTCCGCGTGTGGTTGACGAATGCCACAGTATGACCTGCCACAAAGTCAATTCGCAAAGGATAAAGAGCGGCCAGAAGCTACGCACATCTTATCAACAGGTACTTGAATACAAATTTCCCCGGTCTTGATTCGTTCTATCTTTCAACATTCATCTGTTCCGACACGTTCGTTCTGTAAACACTCGATTAGTACCTTCTTATCCATCCGTATACCCTATCAAGCATACACTCACGACTTCAGAATGCCTTCAGATGAAATCGCTGTTGTCGAAGAAGCAAACAATTCCAACTCTACAAACGAGAAGAAAATTGATCTTGGCGCGAGCAACTCGAATCGGTCCCCCAGGAGGAATAGCCACGCCCCAGAAGTAGTCGACGATGCGGTCTTTGGCCATGTTGGCGAAAACGGCCCCAACTATCGCAGCGTATGTAGCCCTCTCTGCCATGATCTGTGGCGCTAATATATGTATAGCTTTCAAGGATAGGTACCATCGTCCTCATGACGAAAACCCAAGTCGGTCTCGGTGTCCTCGCTATCCCCAGAACGTTCCATGCTCTCGGACTTATCCCTGGCGTCTTTTGCCTCGTAGCCATCGGCGGCATGACATCTTGGTCGGGTTACATTGTTGGTACTTTCAAGCTCAACCACCCAGAAGTGTACACTATAGACGATGCTGGAGGCAAGATGTTTGGCAGGATTGGTCGCGAAATCTTTGCAGCGATCTTTATGCTGAGTAAACATTTCTCTCCCCCATACCAAGGCTACTACTAATATTATACAGACTGGGTCTTCATCTCTGCATCAGCTATGCTGGGTTTCTCGGTTGGGCTCAATGCTGTATCAAGCCACGCCCTCTGCACCTGGACCTTTGTCATTATCGCCGCTGTCAGCACATTTCTCCTAGCCAGTATCCGAACCTTGAGCAAGATAGGATGGATTGCATGGGTTGGTGTTGTCTGCATCATGACCGCCATCTTCTCTGTTACCATTGCTGTTGGAGTCGAGAATAAAACTCCTGCGGCTATTGAGGGAAACTCTACTACGTTCAGGCTCACCAACGACCCTCCATTTGCCGATGCCATGGCAGCAGTCTCTAGCCACATCTTCGCCTACGCCGGCACGCCCGCCTACTTTTCCATCATCGCCGAGATGCGAGACCCGACGCTTTACACATCAGCGCTTATCTGGTCGCAGAGTATTATGACTTCTGTCTACGTTGTGATTGGTGTTGTTATATATTACTACGTCGGCTCCGAGGTTGCATCTCCTGCTTTGGCTTCTGCCGGTCCTACCATGAAGAAGGTCGGCTTCGGATTTGCCCTGCCGGGCCTTTTAGTCAGTGCCATGATTGTCACTCATGTAAGACTTCCCAAAACCCAGCATCTCGTCATTCGATTATTAACAACAACCATAGTTACCAGCCAAGTACATCTTCCTTCGTATCCTCCGCGGCTCTGAGCACCTCCACCGCAGCAGTTTCATTCATTGGGGTACTTGGCTTGGCTGCACTGGCGGCGTCACTATTATCGCCTACATCATAGCCAGCGCTATTCCCATGTTTGACCCTCTTGTGTCATTGGTTGGTGCATCTTTCGGTGTCTTCCTTTGCTTCCAGCCCTTCGGATGTATGTGGCTACACGACAACTGGGGATGCAGGAAGCGTGGCCTCAGGTGGAAAGGAGGGCTCGCCTGGAGCATATTCATCATCATTATTGGCACCTTCCTCATGATTGGCGGTACATATGGCTCCATTGAAGGCCTTCTTTTTGCCACTCGAGATGGATTTGGTGCCGCTTGGGGTTGCGAGGATAATTCTATCACTGTGCCCTCGAACTCGACAGCCAGCGCTAACTCTACAATCACTAACTCAACAACCACTCCCTAAACGTGGCTGGCTCTTTTTATACTCTAGATATTTGAGTATAGGTGGTCCTCTTTTCCCTTTTCTTAACTTGATAGTATGCATCATAAGATATCCTGTATGCGTATGGCTTAGAGGAAACTCTGATATAGTCAAGTGAGCAGTGCACAGACAAAATCTCACTTCTCAAACTTTGGTTCCATTGCAAAATGTGACTTGTGGAACTTGCTGTCCTGGTAATAGGCAGGGTTTCCCCGCAGTAAACTTGTCCTCTATCTCAGAGATAGGCTACATTTGAGTTTTGTGGTTGTATAAAATTGACTTTGTTCTCATCTAAATTTAAGCTTAGATGCCAACGGCCAATCATGTTTTCTCCGGCACTTGATGCTACTTGGCAGGGGTGCACCAACAATTTGGTGTGAGATTCCCGAATAGGCACCTCAAGATCTGCTAGGGTTCAGCCAAGACCTTGGCATAGCGACATGGATATCTGCACTCTTGGCTATTTTCAATGCTTTGTATAAACGTTGAACCCCCATCGTTGTCGGGTGTCAATATTGAAGCCCATTGAAGACTCCCAATGGGGAAGAGGAAAAGTAGACATCTCTTTAGTGTTTGGGCGGTACTAGGAGAGGTTGTGAAGTTGGAGAAGAGACTCTAATCTCTTCGGCTACCATACTGGCCGAAGATCAAAGCCGAAAACTCAGTTTCTACCACGAGTCCAAGCTATAGGGCCGAGATTGGGTGTTTTGACGATTAGCCTGC